TTGACATTTCTAAGGCATTTGACCGTGTTGACCATTTACTGCTAACAAATAAGCTGAACTCCTTAGGAATACGTGACCCATTATTAGGATGGCTTAAATCATTCCTTAACAATAGGTCCCAAATAGTTAAACTCGGGTCTGCAACCTCCAAACCTAGCCCTATCACTTCTGGTGTAGTACAAGGTAGTGTCATTGGACCCCTCCTATTTACACTATACATCAATGACATATGCGCTTGCTTCACGCACGGGAAACCATTCATCTTTGCAGATGACCTAAAAGTAGCTTATACATTCCAACGTGATGACTTAGGGAACTTCGAGAATGTAGTGCAGAAGGAATTAGATAAAATGGCTGCTTGGTCGTCCTTATGGAATCTCCAATTTAATCTGAACAAATGTGGCTGGATCTGCTTCGGTGCACCCTCAATTGACCTGAAATTAACGCTCCAATCTGCTAACCTAACCAGACTCCGAAGTGTCGTTGACCTAGGCCTGAGGTACTCTAGTGACTTGACATTCTCTGAGCAAGTAGCATCACAGACTAGAAAATCGAGGATGCTCTTAGGATGCATACTCAGGAACTTTCACGACAATGAAGCCAAGCTAATTCTGTACAAAACATGTGTCAGACCACTACTAGAATACTGTCCATTTATTATAAGCAGCACTCGCACACGTGATAAGCTAAGGATGGAAAGTATCCAACGATATTTTACCTCAAAACTGCTTGGCTACGATTGTAAGAAAGACTACATCTCACGGTGCATGATCCTAAAACTTGACCCACTTTGGACAAGGCGACTTATTATAAACCTAATATTCTTCTTTAAGGTCCTTCACAAAATATCATTCTCAGGTAACAGGGACATACAATTCGCACAGGAAGGTTCTTACGATCTGCGTAACCAAACTTCCACAGTGACAACTCATTCTTTTAAGTCAACACTCCGTGAAAACTTCTTCACAGTCATGTATTCTAAAATATGGAATAGCCTGCCCCTAGATGTCAGAACTTGCTCTTCGGTTACAAGCTTCAAACGCTCTCTATACAGACTGTTTCACTCTACTGATTATATTAATAAACTATTTACTCCTAGAACGAATCAATCACTAATCTACTACAGCACCTAAAAACGCACTTCAACACCCTTAGCAATCTAAAAATATAAATAAACTAGCAGCATGGATGCATAAAGACTTAGTACGGAACATACAGGATAGTTTACCCTTAGAAATAGGACGTGTCCTCTATTGTAACCTTCAAACGCTTGCTATATAAACTGTTTTGTCCCAATGATTATCCCTACCAGAACCCATCACTTATTTCTAAAACGCATCAGTCATTAGAACGCTAAAACGCTCAGACTCATTAATACACATCATGACACAAATAAACTCTAAGACTTCGCATAAATACGTGAAAACAACTAAAACGTAAACTTTTACTAATATATATTATACATTTACATAAACATTTATAATGCATAAAATATTAATGTCCTTTTCATGTTCACATACTTTCTCTTTTTGGTACTCTGCTGCTCCTATTCATCTTCTGGTCGAGGTCGAGAAACCCTGCATCTAAACTGAAATGAGGATTAATTCCAAACCATCTATCTCATAACCACTCAAATTCCATGAACGATCCAATTCTACCATTTGAAGACGCTGGCGAACATGCTGTAAATGAGTATTCATGATCTGAAATGAAGAAGCAACTGGTTTTCAAACAGTTTTCAACATTTTTCTGAACTTACGAATACAGTCCGCCATGCAGACACAAATGGCGCAAATGGAGAATTCTGGAATCGACCTCGACACCATTTGATGCAGTAAAACAACTTAATATGACCTTATCTAGTTTTCGCCTCCACGATCAAATTTCTTTCCTGTTATAAAACTACGATAAGACTGCTGAAAAATGGAATAAATATATCACTGATCTCAACATAATACATCAATAAACTTTAAGCCTAGGGTGCTGTTCACAAAAAGTTATGTAAGAGAATTGACTTCAAGCTTTATTTTCCCAGATATCTGTATTACATTTATCTGATGTCTGGGTTTTTTTAATGCGAAGACAATATTTCTATATTTCTTTATTTGTTGCACAAACAGACTTTATAGCAGACTGTTCCGATGGACTCTAATGTCAGAGAGAATAAACACACTGTAAATTCATCACACCAAATTATGTGTAATATATATGATAACTTATCCATGCCTGTACAATTGGTATGTTCCTGCATAAACAGGAAGAAATATATATTATTTGGTGTCGCTGCCTACCGACAAATGGAAAGCCTATGCCCTGCTGTTTTTGATGGAGACATATGGATCTTCGGGCAGGACTTCAAGGCTTCTGCGCAGTTGAGTGGCGTTCAAGATCTGTCAGCGATGGAGCTGCTACTTGGGACGCTGCTGGGAGGTCGGGTGAAAGCAGCGTATGAAAGTGTGAGACGAAATACTGACGAATGTTCGACAGGGTCAGGCAAACAGTTTCCAAAGTGGGAAGGACCACATATGGTCACTTCGAGATGGGATTACGCGGACACAATCGCAATGACGAACAATGAGAGGCGCGTGAACGTCAGCGAGCTCCAGAAATGGATACAGCGAGACAAGCCAACGATGACGCCTGCACCAAGTAGATCAAGCCGACTTCAGTCGCACGTATTTGACGGGGGGACGAGTGTGGTGAGAGCAGGCCGTGAGAAAATATGAGCAAGGCTGATTCAACAACCAATCACAGCAAAGTTAACGTGGCAAAATATGATTCGCAGATAGAGAACTCTATTGTCGAGGAATCCCGAAACAACCAATCAGAAGCCTGTGTTTGTCTGCCTAACTTCTGATAAACAACCAATCAGATAACTGCGCTTGTCTACTTGCATAAGCTATAATAATGTATGTGAAATATGTATAAATACGTGTTGATTTTCATAATAAAACGATCTGTTGCCTGGCCCTTGTCTTCTGTTGTTACACGTTTAAGGGAAACATGCCTACCAACTGGAGTTCTTACAGACATAACTTCTACAGTATTTGTTCTTTTTTGACCAGAGGCTAATCATATCACTAAAATGACAGTTCCCAATCGACGGCACATATTTCTGGATCAAATCGTAGCGTGAGGACTATTGCTTAACTAAGTAGCGGTTGTGCAAGAACGAACGTGTGGCGAATGGAATGGATGCTTGACCACAAGCCTTCAGCTATACGGATTGACTTAAACATTGGGGGTCTGTGTCTACTGTTGAGTGATGAACTCTGTACTCTGACGATTTCAAGGAATTTTATACCGTTGCAATTTTTAATAACGGGCAGTATATTTAAATAGAATAAAAAGTTAAGGTTATTCAGGGGAAAAAGTTCATTTATTCATATTGTTAATATGGTTGAGCTACGGACTCGGAGTCTGTGTACGTTAATAACATGAGAAAGAGGGGCGGAAATAGAATTAGGGCTTATCCGGTTAAAACAAAACTTAAGACACTTTAAGTATACTCATTCTGATTGGATGTTTATGCATTTAATATTAAAACGGTTTTGGCATGATCTATTTATTATAAACGTGCGCTTATTTTGATGCTGTGGAGGCTACGGTACAAATATTGGAAGGAAAAATGGGCAAACAACCTACGAAATTCTTGAAGTCTGGCGATGGAAACTAAGACAAAATCTACCCCTGACGTTTCATACATAAAGAAATTCTACTCCTCCTTGTGTTCCTGATTCTCACTTTCTTCTCAAGTTATTTTTCGAACCACTTGTCATGCAACGCAGGAACGGCAATATGCAATTTGTCGGCTCGAGATTTTTCTGATTTTTGTGGGGGCTTAGATATTTATCTTGAAAAAGATAATAATGAACGCCTAGACAGATCATGCTTTAGCCTTTGAATATGTACCATTCGCTCAGCCTATTGTTGAGATGCGACCACGTGGCCCCTGCATATATTTATGGGGCATCTTATAAATTAACTTGCTTTCCATTGTCGGATCTTTAAATACTACTTCACAATGTCTTATCTCATTCATTTTCTAATAACGTCTTTACTCGGTCCTCATTACCTAACGTTTTATAGCTCTTTATGAATTTGATTCGACTTATTCTATTCCTATTCTATTTAGGGTACGGTTGTGCACCTAATGCACAAAAGGGTATAAAATAAAAACAACCAGCATGAGGATAAATGTATTGAAACCAAAAGTGGAGATCATGATAGTAAGACCTATATAGGTAGCACTACACATTGCAAATGAACGTTGTCAGCCTAGGAATTATATACTTTCCCGTTGTATTTCCTATATAAATGCATTTATTAAAAATACTTGCACTTACTTATTTCATTACACTTTAATGAATCACCTTAGCACTTTCACTTTTCTAAAACAGCTTTCAATCCCTCGTAAAAGTCGTACTTACCTCAATATTGTTTGGTTGTCGTATGCCTACAACCACGGGTTGAAAACGAAACGAAGTCGATTCTCCCACGGAACCTGGAGGACAACTGTATAGTTGAATAACTATGCGGCCTGGTTCAGACAATGAGTGTATTTACATATATATCAAATATTTAGCTGTTGAAACATTATTAACTAGTAGACAATCTAAGATTCGATATTATATCATACTTGATAGTGCCTGTAAAAATGGGATGCATTTTCATATAAACTTATATGTTTATATGAAAATATACATTATTATTATGATTAATGCGGTGAAATTTAGATCGTTCACCCAAGAAAATCCCATTATTATTTGGTGAATCATAATCTCCCACAAAATTAACATGCGGAAATGTGCAGTTTGATGCAGCTACAAATATGAAACATACCCCGAGGCAATTTTCACGATGGATTAGCAGGTTTCAAGGAACTGAAAGTTTACGTAATTTAAATCTTGGAAACAGTGACCGATCACGCACATGGTCCGAGGTTCCGACGCACACCTGATATCTATGGTCGGCCTGCAAAATTTAGGCTACCGATATCCATGCTGAAAATTCCATACTCGTACCTAAAATACAGTATAGAATCAAGCTGTAAACAAAAAATTAAAAAATTGAATGTTGAGGAGCTGAAGACAGAAGGTTGTATTGGGAAGGTCTTTTGTGTATTGTTTATTTGGCGCTTAATACTAACATTATTGATTGTAAGTTGGGCTTCTTCCCACTTTCGAGCTCGCTAGTGGTAACTGTATTAAACTAATGCATTAGATGAAATCCTGAGCGGGCTATGCTAACTTTCATCAAATTGTGTATAACTGAATTGATTTGTTGGTGATATATAGAGAGTGTATTTATCAAATCTTAAAACGACACGTTGATACTGTCTATAAACTGCTTGAATGCATCCATTTGAATGTTTCAATACTGTTTTTTCACCCAGAGTATAGTTTCGCAGGGCTGAATGTCACGTGGGGTCTGCAAAAGTTGTTTTATATTAGTTCAAGTACGGAACAAACACAAAACTCACTACGCAGTGTAAGTGTCTAATAGTACCCTTATTAGGCGTCTAGTGGCAAGAGATCCACACCGAATCAGTACCGATTATTCCACTTGAGTAATTTCCAGTAATTCATGACCTAGGACGGAGAGACTATGTTTCAGTTTTCTTGAGGATAAATGCAAAGAAGCTTTCTGCTTCTTAAAGACTACACGTCAAAAGTCATGGCAAAACTGACTTCGAGGTAGTTGTTTGCTGCTTGGGAGATGTCACATGGTCTAACACAAATAACATTTTATCTGAGCATTAGGGGAGTCGTTTCGAGAAATATTGTGTCTTTTAAAATAGTTTTCTTGGCTTAACGGATGCAAACATAAGTTAATTCAAAGAAAAAACATCTTTTCATTAGTGGGGAAATACTTCATACTCTATAAAGAAATAATACATGTACTACAAAGATTAGACGTGACATGCAGGTTGTTATTTAACGCGTTAAAGAAACAGCTAACACACTAGATTTCAGTATTTTTACTGCACTGACAATGTGTTGGAGGAATTTTCGGGTAACGTGTGTTAAGTGATAAAAACACTATTGACGTAAGCACAGTTAAAATATTGAGGGTATGAATTATGCAGTTATGAGTTTCCCAAACATGATGAAGTTGCAAAAGACTTAGAAACTAAATAACATTTACCCACTTAGCGATTGTTCCTACATTTTTGGCTTTCTTGTTGGTCTCCTACGACTGATATTCCTCTGAGTGTAAGTGTATCGGTGACTGAGTACAAGTTGTACTCATCTATAGTGATATGTTTATTTGCGAAAGTCATGGAAAAGTAAGTAATTGCATGACTGTAAACTGAACAACACAGTACTATCTGATCCACAGGATGGCTTTTTGTGCAGTTAGTCTTGTAAACTAACTTTCTAAAATTCAACTCATTGTATTAAGCAGTCAATTTGTGGATGATGTGTGCCGGGCTTCAGTTCCGCCCCGCCTACTTGACACTGAGCACCTGAGTAGTATCATCAGCCCGGACTCAACATATGTGGCTCACATCCAGACACATGAAAAATCTCTTCTGATTAGCGAATTCCAAAATTCACTGGGATAAATGCACTCACTGAGTGAAACGAAAGCAGCCTATTCATGTTGGACCATTCAGCTTTTCTGAATTATCTACTAAGGCTAATCCTAATTTTGCGTGGAGTTTCAGTTGGATGGATTTCAGGAGCGGGTACCACTGTAGATTAAAAAATAACTCAATAGATTATCTGTCGGTCTAAGTTCATTCTAGTGAGAATATTTCCAGATGATAGTTGATGATCTACAGTTATTTGTTCCTGTTTGTTTTATACTTTTTGCCGTAATTATAAATAATATCAGTTGACCATAAGATTGAAAGGGGAATAAGTAAATAAATAAATGATGTACGTTTCTCTTCTTCAGAAGGACTAACGATATCCATAATCTCTACCCCAAAAATTTGTTTTACTGTTCACACTAGAAAATATAAGATAATGCTAATAGATCAGGTAGCTCCTCTTAGTACTTGCTACAGTCTAGGAAGTACAGCAATTACGCACAGGTGTGAAAAAGAGCTTCAAACTAACTCTGTGCATCGTTAATGGTTACTCCATTTTGTTGGATGGTGTTTAACTAGGTGTGCTAAGCAGCAGTGGTTTGATTTCACGGGGTAGGGCTGCTGACCTCACACTCAACCTTCCCTCTTTACCGGCCAAGCGAGGTGTAGCAGTGCGTCGGCTGGGAATCGAACTCTGGACTGTGGGCATGGTTAGTAATCATCCTGTCGCTAAACCACCGGTATATATATATATATATATATATATATATATATATATATATATATATATACTATGAATGTAGCTTAGAAGTGGTTAGTTGTCGCGGTATTTAAAAACATGAACTACCATTTTGGGAAACACGCCATCAGAGACCACGGATCATTGAAGAAACCTCATTATAATCCTGTAGTAGCTCTTGGTCTGCATCCTGTAGTTTACAGATGTTATACGGATGCAATAACGGCATGTTATTTCACTCGTAGTCCGTTACATCCTGAGAAAGCACTATTAATTTTCAGTCACAGTTCGGCCTATGGATGTAGGTCGTTGGAGAAAAAAAATTAACATTTGTACAAACTGTTTTTAATCCGAATTCGTGAACTGGGTTTCTTGATTGGATAAAGTTTCAGCGGCTTTTTTTAATACTTTCACCAAGAGACCCTATATCTTGCAATATACTGTCATGGGTTTGCATTCAAAGGGTTTCGATGCCGCTTCGAGACCATTGATGTTGTATAGTCTATCAAAAAGAACGAATATTCTAAATAATCTCTCTTTTTCCTTCAGGTCTCACGATCAAGAAAAGAACCACTGAATGTTCACATTAGAAGCGTTTTCTAATGCTACAGGATTAGAACTCAGCGAACTCCCAGTTTGTTATTTCTACTTAACAAAGTGTTAAATTTGACATCATGGATTCATCTGTTCTTATGAGTCCTTATTCATCTTACAGTCAAAAATATATTAGTTAAGCCGGAAAATAAGTTCATCACACAGGTAAGTGTTGCGACAAAATGATCGTCCTTTCCAATGTCACTTTGTGTCAGTGTAACGTGTTATATCCACATCAACTAATGAGAATATGTTAAGTTTGTTGGCAGATATTTGTATTTAAAGAAGCCTACCATAAACCCAGACAGAACTAGACTTACTTAAGATAAATACAGTTTAGTGAATGCAAACATATTTTCATTTACTGATAAGTCTATATGTGTATGCGAAGGAGATTATAATTACGTTGCGTAGAAATCATGACTTGCTTTGATATTTTATAATTTCATTCCTTTCAAATTTATTTTTTCCTTTGATGTACTATACTGTTTGAACAGATCGAAAAATAGGATATTAGGGTATATAAAGCGTATTTGAGTGCTATTTTGTATGCTTTTAACTGCGCCTCTACGCTCAATTATTCTTCAGAAAGTGTATTCAGGTCAATATATGCCAACTGAAGTACATATCTATTATAGCGAAAGCTGACATAAAATATATTTTAAATATATATAATGGATACGGAGCTTGTATTGTGGTCTTCTGTTAATCTTATCACTTATTAAGTGATCACTAATTAATTTTCGTGTGTTCAGGTGTTTGTAGGTATATGACACTTTGATTATTCGTAAACCCTTCAGTCAGGGATTGCGCGGTTGTGTATCTGTGTCTAAAGCTCTTTGCTATTAGGTTAAGGTGGTAATTCTTTGTGTTAGGTTTCCTTTTAGGCGTGCCAAATGCTTATTTCGTGGATTATAGTTTGCTTATGATTATTTTTTGTGGTTCCTCTTCATCTGAGTTTTTTTTCTTGCATTTCTGTGTGTTTCATTCCGTATATCAGTGACCTATTCGCAGTTTAAAATATCACAGTTATGGTAATTAGCAATACACAGAATTACTAACCAAATTCTTGCTACCAATGTCGTATGTATTACACAGTCATCAGTGTTCGACTGTAGCTGTTGATTTGTTTCAAAATCAACGGAAAATATAGAAGTGGACTGCGGTAGACACACCTCTTGCAAGGTGAGGTGTAGTGCTATTCAGAATGATGTCACAAAGCAATGTACAGCAAACCGCAGACATTCTTTTGAGCATACTGTGAAAGTACTTCTGTACATATTTTTCAGTTTCATGCTGAGAAGAAAATAGTTTGAAGCTAGTAATAAACTAATTTGGATCGCAAGATGATAGAACAATGTTATTTGGAGCAAACAAGTAGTTTGGAAGGTATCTTGGCAATAGTGGCACAAGTTGAGTTGAGTGATATTGGAAAAGTTAAAATGTGTCGCTAAATATCCTATATGAAAGGTACAACTAATAAGTAACTGGTTTCTGCAAGATTAAATGAAGAAAAGTAAAAAAACGAAGATATAGGATATAACAGACTATTGTCTCCGAATAATTTCAGCTTCAAACGTTCATGTAGAAAACTAATGTGTAGTAAAGTTGTGCAACTGAAATTTATGTCTAGAAATGAATCTATTTCGTCAGCCCTATTAACGAAACAATAGTGCTTAGTTTGTATTATCTTCACAAAGACTTTTTTCTTCACCTGAAGCTATCATGGTGTAATCTTTCATTTAACAAAAACCACACGTCCCAAGGGTAATCTACAGAAGCATTTTTCTTTGTATACGCACTTTAAAAAATGTGCATACATTATTTTTGACATTATCCTGAATAGTAGTTTTGAGTTCTACTTTATGATACTTGAAACATGATCGTCAAAAGTAGGTCGAAATATCACAGTTTTCTGAAAACAAATGTCTTCTTGACATTTCCTCATATACTAAAGCCACTGAGTAAGTTGTTCTTGGATGAGAGGAATTCTGGATCAAAAAAAGTAAGTCGTATGATAAGTCTGAGCACTAGTCGATTTATCAAACAAACACCTTGATTTAAGACATGTTTTACCCACAACGAATTACCATTTCCTTCGACGAGCATTTTCTCCTGAAGTAGAATTTAATTTTTAAAAAAGCTGGTGGTGATAAAACCGAAAAAATTGTGACGACTAATCGAGCTTAATTTTTGGTCTGATTTGTACAAGAGACAACAATCTGCTTTACTGGATTTCTAAAGTACAACAGTTAGAGACTTAATGGTGGTAAAGAAACATTTACTCTCTGTCACCTAAACGTTAAACACTGACTAGTCTCAACTCAGTCATGTGCATGTGCAGTTACCAATTCAACTGTTTCTGTAGAGTAATAGACAAGCAATCATTTTTATGAAAAGGACTGACTAAAGCGATAAGCAGCTTTATACCAAATCACCTTGTTGAAATGGGACATTATATCATCAGTATTGTCAGTGCCTCTAAAGTTATTGTAATTTATACAACCTTTTCTATGCTATACAAGTTCAACTTTTACATGCAGTAGAGACTATGGAAATTCTTTAAAATGGGCTAAATATATATTTTACAACTCGTCTACATAATATGTATGGAGTGTTACAACTGACCCTTTCTTCTATCAATTGATATTATTGTTGTGTTATTTATTTTATTATTCTTATTGTTATTACTATTTTTGTTTAGTTCACTGGACCATTTCATATCTAAAAGATTCTTTCATCAATTCTTCTGAATTATCGTTATCTTGCAAACTTACAGTTATACAGTAATCCTGTGCTAACGTTGATAAATTGAGTGTATATCATACTAGATGGCTGTATATACTTTGACTATTATCTTGGTTTTTGTAGTCACTGTCGCCCTCTTCCTATCCCTCAAAACTGGTATTCATTTATTAACTTACAGGCCACCACTTAATTGCTTTAATTCTAATGTATTATTTTAAAAAGTTGTATATCAATGTAAAGCCGTTGAGGAGGGAGTAGTAAAAAAAAAGAAACATATTTCTGTCTTTATTTTGTTGTTTTCTAAACGTCTGAATAGGAATTTCAAGTTCACTTGTGAAAATCTAAACGTATATCCCTAAGTGTCACAACTGTGGTTATTAAGGGTGTAACAGGATTTCTATATGAAACTTGTTAAATTACTTGTGGCAGTAACGAGTAATAAGCAAATTTATGTGTGATGACCCCATAAGTGTAATTTTAAAGTCATTTCTATGAGTGAAATTTACGCTTACCCCTTTTATTTCCTGAATATCCAAATCCATTTACTCTCAGTAAAGTTGAATATCCAAATAACAGCAGGTATTAAAGTTCAACGTGCGTCGGTGGCACAGCGGTTAGGACGCTCGCCGATCATGCACATAGTCCGGGGTTCGATTCCCGGCCGCCGACGCACTCCTTTACCTCACTAAGCCAGTAATAAATAAGCTGGTAAAGGGAAAGGTTGGGCATGAGGCTAGCAACCCCATCCCGTAAAAAATAGACACTGCTACAGAAACTTCAAGCCACTAGCTTGAAGCCCTATGTTCCACTGGGAACGTAAAGGAAAAATTATTTATTATTATTATTAAAGTTCAACAGACGCTAACCATAACCGAAGCAATTTACTAAGAGTTCAAAGAAACAAAATGTAGATTCATTATATTAGCAAGTAAAACTAACGGTAGAAGCAAAGAGACTTGGTAATGTAATGTTTATTCAGAATTTGGTATCTCTATACAGAGAAATTATATACACCTTATTTGAAAATCATCATTTGCACAGATCTTCCGTGTTGTGCTACTTTCACCCTTCATATTGTGTTTCCTTGCCTTCCTTTCACGTCTTCCATGTTTCTTGGCAACGCTGAATCATTTGCTTCCTCTGGCGTCAATCCCATTTCGCTGGCATTTGATATTCTTATACCGATGAACGTCTCTTTATATACTACCGATAAATCTTATCAGTAACGCATACCACAAAATCACTAAATGCAGTTCAAATACTAAAAATAATCCAACGAAAAGAAACAAACAATTAAGTGGTGGTTATGAAAAGAAGTCTGAGCTCTTGTACTTGTGCAAATTTAATGAATCTTAAGGTTGATTACTTCAGCTGGGAGAGTTATTAGAAATCAATGATCCCTGGACAGCTGTTTTACCTTAGTTTGAATTTTAATGGAGAGATTTTATCCCAATCTACTAATAGATGGATCCCACTGAAATCTAGTGCCAAGTTACAATTCATAAAACTTACTAAAGTGAGTGTGAAGACTAGTACTCATCAATTGTATTGAAAGTTAGAAGGGCAATATCGAGTCGTTCTAAGTTGGAGATCAAAACATTGTTGGGTTCCTATCGCTTAGCATAGTGGTAGTTTATTCTCCATATAACCGAATGATCCGAAATTTAGTTTTCTATAAGGTTGTTTATGTGAAATACCTCAAACTACAAGGAAAAAGTTGTTTAGCGCCTCTTAACCTTTGAGTGTTTCTTTCAGTTGATGTTGGTTGTCGACAAAATTATTAATGCCAGTAGAAAGTCACAAGTCGTTTAAATTCAGCCCACCAAAAACAGATTTCACATGCACTTAGCTATGAGGCACTTATTGTGTGAGAACTGCAGACATTATCCAGGTGCCGAGTGTGAAGCAGGTGAAACTGGATTCGAACTCGAGATCCATTTGTTGAACGTTGAGTACTTTAGCCAGTGAGTCATGTTCTTATAGACGTTACAACACAATATGTGATTCATACAATCATTATAGGATAAAGTGTAATCTATTGGTATTAAATGGAGGACCAATAAAGACTTCTTACAAATGCGACTCAGTGGATTGTGAGGATAGACAGAGAAAATAAACACGTACAGTATGTTCAGCAATATTTGTTTCTAAATTGTTAATTTTATTATTAGTAGATCTACTTGGAGTCTTTACTGAGGTTGTTCACTGTTGTTGTAGATTTGGACCCTAAATAATCTGGCTGAACTGTGCTATTCACTATTCATCAGATCATGGGTCATAGGTATCATCGCCGTTTTGCCGGTAGAATATCCTATATCAATCAGTGGGTGAAGTATTCTTTGTGTTTGGCGAATTTTATTTTTTTAGTAAGTATAAGTAGGCTTATTATACGAAATTATTTATTTATTTATTGATTATTCATGTGTTTATTGTTTCATTACTGCTTAAACTTGTTTTGTATGTTTAATCAATAATTGGATACTTCTGAGTTATCGTCAACTGACATTCGTGAGCATTTGCAGTATGCTAAAACGGGACAGCTTCGTTAAAATTGATTACAGCAAAAAATGTATCAATCACCATCACCTTTCATTGCAGCTGAATCAGTTAAAAGTGCTTTTATATTGTACCTCCTTAAGAAGCCACTGATTTTGAGGTAGGGCGTTTACAGGACTGACTCGACAGAATAGTATCGTAACAACAGAAGACAAGGGTCAGGCAACAGATCGTTTGTTAAGGAAATCAACAGATATTTTTAGTTTTTCATGTACCTGAATTATAGATTATTGTTAGCGGAAAAACACAGTCTTCTGGTTGGTTGTTTCTCACTGAAAGCTAATCTTTCATCTCTTTGTGGCTGTTTCTTGAATGTCATATCATCTATATGCTAACTGTATCCGCCTACGCAAAGTCTGCTGTGACTGGTTGTTGAACCAATCTTTGTTCATATTTTTCTCACCACCAATATTGAGGACGTAAACATTGACGTAAATTAATGTCTACCAATTTGGCTAGCAGCCAGCTCTCACTCCAATATTACCAATATTAATAAACATGACCATGTATTGAATACTCCATTTTCTTGAGGTAAAAATTAACTTATTGTGTTGAATATTTTGGTTTCTCGTTTCAGACTATTGGAGCAGTATTTCTTGTTGTCGGTGTGATTGCATTTGTCGAGTCTGGAGGTATACCATGGAAATCTAACATCGGTGCATTACAATGGCTTTTCAATTTGACCGTAATATGTATCGGTTTTGGTGTAATAACCTTATTTGTTTCATCAGCTGGTTTTGTGGGCTCCTTACGTGAAAATAGTTGCCTTCTGAAATTTGTAAAGAAGTCTTTATTCTTATGGTTTTTTGTATTTTAGTATTATAGTGTCTTAACAATACTCTTTCTGACAGAAGTTATTTGCTGCGTATTATTCTTTGTGTATCGTGATTCAGCCCTACGTAAACTAGAAGATTTAATAAGAACTACTTTTTTAACTCAGTATCGGGAAATTGGGTTCGAGGATACGACAAATTTTATGGATTTCATTCAAAGAGAGGTAATTCACAACTTATCACATAAATTTATATTTTACCATCTTTGTCAAGTTTTTTTTATTCTAAATTGTTATATTTCATTTATATAAGTTTTGCTTGGTAGTAATGTACTTTTTTTCAAAATTCTGTATTGCTAACTGTGTTACGTTAGTTAGTTTTGCATAGTTTGAAATTCCGCTTTTCAAGTGTAATACATTTTAAGGGGATTTAACTGAACTTTTGTGGTGTGACGATTGTGGATTCTATCCTTTGTGTGTAGGGTAGTGGGTGTTCATTTCTGAAGAATCTTAAGCTAGGACTTCACACCTTTTCAATGCTTTCTGGTTTTCACTGGCTCTCTAACTGATATTAACTGCTGAAAAAACCTGTTTTGTGAAGTGCGATATCTACAAGATATTATTAGTGTTGTCTAAAGTCGTGGAGATGTGGCTAATCAGCTACACCACCTGACCAGAGTTTGTCTTGTGTTCGAATTTCGTTCCATCTATTTCAGTCTGGACGATTGTATGGTATAATCAACCCTTATATACAATAATTGTGGTTCATAGCCGCCTAGTACATGACCCAAGCAACTTAGATATGATTAACTTATTTCCAAGCCATTAAGGACGCATCGTATTGTAATCTGTCACTGCATAAAAGGCTTATTAACCATTATAAAAATTTGAGTGCAAGAATTTCTGCTTTCTACTATTCTGTACTTTGAACGGGCACTTATTTTACTAAGATGGTTGAAATTTATTATTCACATGATGTAAAGTACTATGAACTTTTCAGTTTTTGAAGTAGAAATGAATAAATATAGTCTTATAAATAGTTATCTATCTATAACTCTGGGTAATTAAATTACTCAATATGTATGGCATGCTGGAATATTTAGACGTCTAGTTGTTGAACAGAATCATGTAGTTATTTTGAAATCTTTTGAAAAATTACCAATGAAAAATCAAACTGGCCAAGTTAAACTTTCGACACCACTAACCACCAATCAGGAAACGACCTTGAACGGACCAATCACATTAGAGAGGCATATATGATTGGAAACGTATATTTATAGAAAAAGAGGATAAAACGGTTACAAGGGGTATCTTTCTGGAACATGTGAGAGGAACATCTCCCAGTTTAGCATGGGACTGTCAATGGAGAAGTTACACCACATTCTGTACATATATTCACCTAAATGACTATAAATGAGATCCTTTTGGGATCCATCTGTAGCCCTTATCCTGTATTTCAAGCGACCCCAAAACCCTTCAATGGAATTCGTATGAGTCCTCGTAACGAGATCCACGAAATCACTTGAATGGTTCACTCTGTGATGAATATACCCCAGAGATGACAGCGAAATACAACCTTTCCACTCGTCCGTGTGTATAATTGACCCCCGTTTAACAAGTCTCGTCATAATAGGTATTAAAGTGGTTGCTTTTCTGTTAGCTATCCGTTCGACAAATCCCTTTCGGAGGGAGGTGTCGTATAAACCTAATACCTAATACCCAAATGTTGTTTGTTCGCTGGCGACCACGGTTGTATTGATTTTTCACCAGCACAGTTTCATCGACATGCACGATAACGTCTTCTCCACCCAGCAAAGAAGTGATTTTCTCTATTTTCCACGAAGCAATGTCTCTGCAATGCCAGTACCACTGAACTGTTGAGACGAGGTTATTCTCCGTCTCGGCAGCTGCTGCTCTCACTGACTGTTTCAACACCCAGTAGTTGCAGATGTACAAAATCTGGGTTAGGGAGAGATGCGACCTAGCGAAAAAAGTTCCTACGAAATAGTAAGATTATCAGCTTACCCTCTCCAATGTTAGCACGCTTCAAACATATAGCACAACGAAGAACAAATCCATCAGTTGATCTGCTATAGCTTTTCAAAGTCATGATACCACCACACGAACACATTCGCTCCTTCCGGAGCAACCCTAAATCCAAACAATACCGGAAAACACTGTCCTCCTCGAATTGCAACCGTAACCTTGTAAGGGCACGCATTTAAAATGAATCAAGCGCTATACAACATTGGACTACATTCGTGAATCTCATTGGATAATTCGCTGATTGGTAGTTAGTGGTGTCGAAAGTTTAACTTCGCCATCAAACTCATCTAGGTATTATAGCAGTTAAAATTCTGAAGATAATAAAAAGTCTAATAGCATTCACTGTACAGAAATACAATATTCTATCTCAAATCATCATATACAGAAGACTAAATTAGCCTCTATCATTGTGTTATGCATTTCGAAATCACTGGCCAATCGTAGAAGAAGAAGAGCGAATTATTCTCAGGGTTTAAATAGTCGAAAACAAAATTGTACAGTGAAGAAAAAGCTCTCTGGCTATTTATTGTTCTCTAGAAAGTAGAAACTCGTTAAATTCCTCAAGCGTTTGATGGATTTCGTCGTACGAATCTCAGTTTCTCTTGCACCACTGACATTTCATGAAATATGGAAAAATGCCTATGACTTTCGTTAATCGCTTATTTTTTCATACATTTATTCCCCTTAATGAATTTGAACAAAGCAAGAACTACAGTTTTAGCAGAATAATATGGTACCATCATTTATTTATTTCGTTGGCTTCTCAACAGCTGCTTACAGCCTAAATAAATTATGAGGTCTACGTATAGAAACATTTTAGCATACTTGCAAATTTTACATGTTGTCAGTTGACAGAATGTTCCACAATTAGTAAACAGTGCTCAGAAGATTGCGCTAATATAGTTTTCACACAGGCAGTCCAAGTTAAAACAAAATAAATGTATGCAGAAAATGGCAAAGGAGTTACGTAATAAAGATGAGATGTGCTTTAGATGCATAGTGACTAGTAAGTTAGGTAACAATGTACTGAGTTGAGCTCAAATCATAGAAACAAGAGACAAGCAAATTACAGATTATAAAAGGAGCGTGAGGTTAAAGACAAAGATTACGTAATCAGATGAGAGAAGAAAAACATCCAGTTACTAAGGCAAGGAAAGACTAATAACTGATTCTTTCTGAACTTATAAATCTGGTTTCAAGCGTTTGATAGAAATCGCTTCAACAAACTTAAGAAGAATTGAGCTCTTTTGCCTATTGATAATTTTGAACGACTTTTCGACGTCCATCTCATGACCCGTGTCAAAGAGATGCCTGGCGATGGCACTGTTTAAAGCATTTGTTCCCTTTAGAAGTAAGCTTTTTTGTCGAGATTAAATATCTCAAAGTATGCGCCTTATTGTAATGCGTTGTTGCAACCATTGATCTCTACAGATTGAATGATCCATATTCTTAGCATCTTACTATCCCGATGTTTTTCTCTCCCTAGTTTTCCATTGAGAATATTTTCCAGAATTAAAATAAATTTCATGATATCAATGTGTTTTTCATCACAATCAGTTTACAATTACATTTTTTTTTGTGTGTAACATAGCTCAATTGTTGCGGACCGAAGTCGTATTTAGATTGGACAGCTAATCGTTATTTTTCGTGTAGTAATTCGAATGTAAGTCCAGAGGCTTGTGGAGTTCCCTATTCTTGTTGTCGTCAAATGAACAATATAAACGTAAGTACTTCAAATTGCATACCAGAAACTTTGATGAAACATTACTGTCCTATTTTATTTAAAAAAATCAACAAATAATCATCTTCCTATACATTTTAATTCTTGTAGTTCATAGTCAGCGATTTCTCTTTTGATTTCTTGGACTGCTTCCAACACCAGATAGCAGAAGTATATAAAGTGAAATAAATAAATTAGATGTTCATGTTAAAAATGAATTTACATGTTGAATCACCATCAATTCTACTGTAATATCTAGATAACTATCTACTTTCAAGAAATAGTATCTAACGTCTCATTTCCAAATGTTAATTTTCACTTCATGACTGATCAGTGTCAATAATTTGTATGAATATGAAGTGCGAATGGGTGTATTGCACTGACCATTTGATCAAGTAAAGTGGGCTTCTAACTGATGAAATGTTGTTACACAATCATTGTAGCTGGTCATTTGCTTGGTCCAAATCGTGTCAGTTATGACTTAGGTAGGACAACTCAACAAGCTTCACACATCCTGCTCAGCAGTATATTTTCAAGATCTGTGTAAAGGCTAAATGTAATTTCACCACTATTGATTTCGCAACACTATTTTCACACGATGTAATCACCACATTTTAATTTTAATTTAATTTTAATTTTTGATTTACAGCTTGATTCTACACTGTATTTTTGGTACAAGTATGGAATTTTGAGCATGGATATCGGTAGCCCAAATTTCGCAGGCCGACCATAGATATCAGGTGTGCGTCGGCGGGTGCTCGAACCCCGGACCATATGAGTGGTCGGCGAGAGTCCTAACCACTGTGCCACCGACGCACATGATTAATGTGGAGGTAAAGACATGTCGGTCGACGAAGTTATAAACCACCTCCATCTTCAGCGTTGAACATGTCGTCAAGATGTATAATAAAAGCTTCACAATTAAGTCAACCAGTTGGCCATGCTGGACTGTAAAATAAAACAAGATAGTGGGTTAGACACACTCTAAATAAATACACTTAGACTTTAATTCATCCCCTCCAGAATCGGTAAAGATAGGTTTTTATTAAATGTGTATAATCGGGCTAGGAGCTTAGCCACTAAATCAGGTCTAAATAATTAAGTCAAACAAATACCACACACACACACATGCAGTCAGAATATCCGAGATATTGAACGTCGCAGCAAACAACAAGGGGAAGTTGGAGAGAGAATACATATATATATATATATATAAGACAAATTGTGGAGTCGTGTGACTAAAGTGATATGATTATGACGAATAATTTATGCTCGAAACGTCATCCAGTTGTTGAAACTGATCACTATGTGATATTTAAAATAAACTTAAGTAATATGGAATCAAATTCTACCACAGTGCCCAAGTTTTACACTTACATTATTGTGATATGACGGGAGAGTTAAACTTTAAGCACCACTAACTACCAACCAGCGAATGACCTCGGACACAGCAATCTTGTGAAGGAGGCATTTTCGTGTAAGGAATACACATATTTATGAAATAATGCATAAAATCTGTAGAAAAGTGTTACAGAGGATAATCTGCACTCACATATGATATAAATAGGGCGGAGTTCAACAACAGTGTCCGCACTCCTGGGACACTCCAATGACCTTAAACGCATGCTAATCGTTGGCTCCTAGTTTTAGAGTATCAGCAGAGTATAATTCCATTGTGGGTAAAATTTATTTTGATAAAGTCTCATAGTGTAATACAGAAATATTTCCTGAGCAATAAATTGTACTCGAAACGTCCTCAGTTAATATGACAGTATAACACTGTAAGACTATCAAAATAAATGCTACCCACAATGGATTTATACTCTGTCAAAGTCCGCAAGTTCTATTCTTATATCAACAGAGTAATTTAACCACATTCTATGCATGTAATTATTTAGGCCTTCTAAACTTAACAATGACCCTAGTCTTTTCATAACCTACCCGTAGCGTGAAAAAATATCCCTAAACTAACTGTAATCTGATTCAAACCAATCCTAATGTCGCCTTTGTTAAGTTAACCTAACCCTAACTTATTGGCTTCTATTAGTATATTTATTCATGATGACAACATTATTTGCCAGATTCCACTGACTCGCTCAGTGAGCGTTTCAAGATCATTGGTGCACCGCACTCTAAAGGTAGTCACTGGTGCTTAAAGTTTAACTTGGCCTATTACATGACGTTTGTTCGTTTCACTTTTTCAACCTACTTCTGTATAATGTACAGATATGGGCTGTGGTAATGTGTACCACTAAGTACTTACATTGAAAATGCTTACAGTCAGATTTCTTCCCATATTGATTTCAGATCTCATCGTGTTCAGAGTTATAGCCGATATGTGTTTTTTTCTTTTCTCTATATGAACCAATTCCATAATAAGTTCTACTCATTTCTGAGTGTACATAACTGAATATCTTTCTATTCTACAATAAATATATATAGAGAGAGATCAGTTATCATGTTCGGTTAACTCTTTCCCCTTAAAGTATAAGTAAGTGTCGTTCTTGACATGATTTTATTTACTATACCACTCATGATGTCTCTGAGTAGCAAAACAAAGTTAGTCTTAACTATAAATTGTTTAAATTGAATATTCCCATAATTTATTCAGAACAAAATATTTAGAGCGAACAATTGTTTTCAATAAATTCTTCTTCAGGCTCTACAATTATAAATCCATTAATGTAAGCATACAATTTTTAGCTAAGGCGAATTAGAATCATATCAGAAAGTGTATTGTGGAACAAGTATAAGATGGGATGAAACAATAGTCATATAGTTTTTTTTAATATGCATGGTCAATAACAACATGGGACAGAATGAGATGAAATAATTTAATTTAATGATGTGTGTATATATATAAATATAGTTAACAGAAAATACAGGTTTCAAGAGTGAGTGTAATCAGGGTGTGTGAGGCAATATGAAAATAAACCAACGAATGGGGCGGTCTAGACTTAAGTTCAAGGTTGAAAATAACAACAATAAGAATGATTGTAAAATAATAACGATGATATGGTGTAAAATTAAAATTAAATGTACTATTGGTGAATGATTGTCAAATAATAATAATGAATATAATGAAGTGGAATGAACAGGATTTTGTAAATACGATAGTAAGTTAGAAAAGCACTATTTAAACCTAAGGTAATAAAATCATAAGAAAGGTCATGAAATCATAAAAGTCGAAAATGAACGTTTGTCAATGAAACAGAGGAATAGAAGAAGGAAAAGAAAAGAAAATCGCGAAAGGAATTTATAGTGTTAATGGAGGATTTGTTGGCTTTATTGTAGGCCAAGGTAAACATAGAGGTTGAACATACTTCTTCTGTATGCAGAGGGATGGTCTTCTGGTATTAATTGCAACTGCTTCAGCTACTGATAGAAGACGTAGTCGAGCTCCTCTAGATAAATTACTAGGAACGCGGTAAATAACTGAGAACGCTTGGTCAAGTTTTATCGGGTGTCCAGTATCTACCAAGTGGGCTAAGACTGCACTATTTATGCCTTTGGTTACTCCTTTACTCAACCATACAGGTACATGTTCACGTGCGCGCATGGATAAAGCCCTCTGAGTACGGCCAATATAACTAGCTCCACATGAGCAGTTGAATTCGTAGATGCACATTGATGAGGCCATCTTTGGTAATTTATCCTTTACTTGCTGTGTGAGTACTGGTTTAGTTGAGAAGTTTAGTACCAATTTAGCTGCGGGAAATGTTCTATCTATTGCTCTATTGAGTCGACACTTTAGAATGTCAGCTGCAATTTCCCCTTTGTAACTTAACTTAAGATACAAAGGTTTCTTGTCTACGGTATCCACCTTTACCCTGTCTATAGGTATTGACATATACTTTTTTAGGAAGCTCTGTGGATATCCATTTTCTTGCAGTGTGAGTTTTAGTTTATGCATTTCTTCCTTAATGCATTCCTCTGAGCATATTCGTTTTATTCTGTAGCTAAGACACTTAACTAAGTTTCTTTTATGCTGAATCGGTGTGAAACTATGGAAATGGGTGTACTGACCCGTCCAAGTTTTCTTTCTAAATAATTTCCTTTGTAGATATCCGTCTGTCTTCATGGTAAGTAGGACGTCTAGGAAAGGTAAACTGTTATTGTCTTCTTCTTCACATGTAAACTGAATAGTTGGGTGAACACTATTAACGGTATTCAGAAGCTCTTGTTTATTAAGATTTCTATTACAAACGATAAACGTATCATCTACGTATCGACAATAATAGTCAAACCCTTTAATCGTGTCTTTGAGTGGACCATTTTCAAGCTTTGCCAGGAAAATATCCGCTAGCAAAGGGCCCAAAGGTGATCCCATGGCTACCCCATCAACTTGTCTATAAAAACCATTATTGAACATAAACTGAACATTCATAGTGCATTTCAATAATAATTCTTTGACCTTTTCGGGTGGGATTCCTACATCTATTTTCTTTTCTATCAGCTGGTCACATATGTAGTTGACTGTTTCAAGCAGTGGGACATTGGTGAATAATGATGCTACATCCAGTGACATCATTTTCTTTCCCTTTACATTCAAGCTTTTGGTAGTTTCCACAAAGCTGAATACGTCTTTTACACTGAATTTCACTACTTCGCGATGTAGTGGTTCTAGTGCCTTTACCAACCACTTAGCTGTAGAATGATAAGGGGATTGGCACATATCTAAGATGGGACGTAGTGGTACTCCCGGCTTATGGACTTTCGGTAAACCATAAAGTCTTGGTGTGTGCGTACCTGAGGGTTTCAATTCGTCGAGTGTTTCTTTAGGAATCAGATTACTCTCAACTAATGATTTTAGTGTCTTAGCCATTTGGCGTTCGGTTGCCTCCGTTGTGTCTTTACAACTGCTTAGCTTTTGAAATTTCGTATGGTCGTTTAGAATGATATTCATTTTGTCTAAATAATCACTCTTGTTCATGATAACTGTGCCAGATCCTTTATCAGGTCTAGTTATTATCAGATTTTCGTTCTTTTTGAGGTCACGTAATGCCTCTCGGTGTTTCTTTGTAAGTAGACTGTTGGCGGGATGTTTGCTGTTCTTAAACTGGTAGCAGGAATCGATTAGGGTACTTTTAAATCTTTCTAGCTCATACTTGGACGTAGGAGTTAGGTCGCTTGTCTGGGCAAATAGGTTTTCAAATTGGACATCAGTCTCTAAATGATCAACCTGATTACGTCTGTCACAGAATTTTAAACCGAGAGATAAGGCTTCAAGCTGTGTCTTATCTAAGCATACAGAGGAAAAATTGAAAACGTACCGGTTATAGTCAATTGGAAAATGAGTTTCAGTCGTTTCTGTATCTAGTCCTTTGGTTAATAATATCAATTTCTTGCTTTCTCGAGTTTTTAGAACTTCATTAACGTAGTTAATAAATAAATCCTTCAGGTTTTGAGGAAGTTCATCGACGGCGTAAAGTCTTTGAGAAATATTTCTCTCTAGTTCAGATATATAAACTTGAAGTGATTCGATTTGATTAACGGCGAATCGCTTTAGTGACTTCTGATTCGGTCGTGTTTTGCATCGACGAAGGGATTTTGAATATAATTTAGGATACCTGTTGTTCACAATACAATTTCGAATAAATTCCATATGCGTTTTCGCTTCTGTGAGCCTAGCACTATACTTCAGGTACTCATTAAGTGCCTTTAGAGCTACGGGATGCTCACTAGATTTCAGTAAATTAAATATTCCCATAATTTATTCAGAACAAAATATTTAGAGCGAACAATTGTTTTCAATAAATTCTTCTTCAGGCTCTACAATTATAAATAAATTGATTGTTTATGTGGTCATTGGTCCCATATTAGATGTAATCCACTTCTTTATACAGATAAATCTATTAGAACTGTCCATTATTATTATTATTAATGCGATCTAAAGTGTAATTCACCTTTATACTGATACGCTTGTTTTCATTGTATGCTTGCATAACCTTTATCCTTATGTAAGTTGTAAAGTTGACGTGTTCAAAACTAGGTTGTCATCTGAAAACCTTTGATTCAATGTAAAATGTTAAATGGAAATTTACATTATTTTTTTGGCCTAACTAAAAAGCAAATGCAACTTAATAAATTAAGTGTTTGTAACATACTTTCAGGTTAATGTGATCAATACTTCATGTGGTTTTGGTGTGCAAAAGTTAACTAGTACAGCAGCTAGTCGTTTGGTATGGACAACTGGTTGTGTACAAGCCCTTGTCAATGTGGTAGAAGTTAATATAGTTCCTTTTGCTTGTGGAGTTAGTGGTATAGCTGTATTACAAGTAAGTAATGAAGTCATTTTGTTGTATAGTCTCTCAGATAATCTTACTGTTAATAAAAATGCTTGAAGTGCATTATTCATGTAAAATTTGTGCACTTAGATTAACTTTTATTTTAATCGTTAACTTTTGTGTGTACCTGTGTTAATCCATCTAAAGTATGAACAACACCTAGTTGGTTGGATCAATTAGTATTGAAGTCTTTCAGTTCACTATCATTTACAGTGTATCACGGGTTCATGTTAACTTCTTAATGCATTATGTTGGAAGTCTTACTAGCATAAATAGATTAACAGATATTTACCGTGTTAACATATAGAAAAACTGAGTGAAAAATAATGTGGTTATTTATTGACTGAACCAGTTTATCATGTTCAGTTCAACAATTTAGAGGGTTCTAGAATGTTGTGCACTGGAAGTATAAACTTATTCAGGTGTCAGTTGAAATGATGATCATTCATCACTTTCATTTGATAAATTCACCTCTAATAATAATTTAATCATTTCGTCGTTTTACCCTGACCTCAAAAAGTGTGTTAATTAACAAGTTCAACCTACCAGTAATCTATGAACATGCTGAATTTCCTGATCTGGAATTTTTTTTCCTTCACTTTCCCCAGTGGAATATAGGGCTTCAAGCTAGTGGCTTGAAGTTTCTGTAGCAGTGTTTATTTTACAGGATGTGGTTGCTAGCCTCATGTCCAACCTTTCCTCTTTACCAGCTTTTTTATTGCTGGCTTAGTGAGGCAAAGGAGTGCATCGGTGGTCGGGGATCGAAACCCGGACCACCTGCATGGTCGGCGAGCGTCCTAACCGCTATACCACCAACGCACCGGATGTGGAATTAACTGTACAACACTATTCCTGATCTGGAATAGTGTTGTACAATTAAGCGGGGATTAGAATTTTTACAACAATATTTACTTTAACTGATTAAAAATGCCCATTAAATTTTTTTTAAAGAATGGTTACTTGAATAAAGAATATTCTTTCCGATAGCCTCTTCTTCATCACGTTCTACAGTTATGTATACATATTAATGAATGAGATAGTGTTATTAACAGGATTAATCTTGTTTAAATAACGTCGAATCAATAATGATATCAATGGTTTGCAGTTCGGTAGCATTAACATAACAACACACTGAATAAATATCAGAAAAATTAGGAAAAATAATAATAGAAATTCATGAATTTATAATCTCCACTGAAGGCCAGGGTAGTAGTGATGGCTGAAGTTGCTTCTTCTGGACACAGAGCACCGGTTGTGTAAGGCGAATCGCGATAACCTCTACCGTACCTGGATTCCTCAGCGAGAGCGAACAATCAAGTTCCTAAAACAACGGCCAATATAATTCGCTCCACCACAAGAGCAGTTGTATCGTTAAATACAATTAGAAGTGGCTAGTCTAGGTACTTCATCTTTTAATTAAGGAATCACTATTGGCTGTGTAGAAAACATAACTTGTGTTCTTGTGCATCAAAAGTTCTTTGAATAAACTTTCTTAAATTGTTAGTAATTTTCTTTTCAACGAAGACATCAACTAAGTTGTATATTCGTGTATTTGTAACAAATGGATGGGAAAGTTCCAGAATAATTTCCGGTTAACGGTCAAATTAATCATCCCATTGCCTTTCTTATCCAAACTTCCTGTTTATTTATCTTATTTTTAAGCTTCTCTTAACCCCTATTTAAATTACCATATTTTCATATCTGAACTTCCTGTTTATTTTGTCATTTTGTTATTTCTACATATTTAATCTCTGACTGCATAAACAATTATTCGTCACATTAGTTATGATCCCACTAGATTTTCTTATCCCAACATCCTGTCTATTTTTGTTATTTCTACATTTCTAACCTCCAATTGCACAGTATGTCAATCTTCTCAGTAATTATGATGCTACCTTGTTTGACCTTTATCCGTCACCCTGTTTATTATGGTGTTTTAATTCCTAATTGTAATTTTTATTAATTTGACCCTTAACCGGAAATTATTCTGGAAATTTACCATCCATTTGTTATAAATACACAAGTGTACAGCCTAGTTGATGACTTCGTTAAAAAGAAAATTTTTTCATCTAGGTATAACCGAGGCACTAACTATCCAAAAGCTCAAACCTACGCTTTGTATCCAAAAGAAACACGTCCAACCCATGTTAGTAATTATTTCACTAGGTGCGTCGTCACCCTTGAATTACAGTCGTATGCATAAAGGCATCTGTTTCCTTTATTTTTGAAAAGTGTTGTTATAATTAAGTAAGTATTAGAATATTTACAACAACAATATTTACTGTGTTCACTGGTTGATAGGTGTTATTGTTTTCATTGCTCAATCATTTGAGCTGTACATGTTGTACATCTTTTTTTTTCCTTTCCTTTCCCAATGGAACATAGGGCTCCAAGCTAGAGCTTTGAAGTTTCAGTAGCAGTGGTATTTATTTTTACGAGATGGGGTAGCTAGCCTCATGTCCAACCTTTTCCTCTATACCAGTCTTATTACTAGCTTAGCGAGGTAAAGGAGTGCGTCGGTGGCCGGGGATCGAACCCCGGACCACCTACGTGGTCGGCGAGCATTCTACCTCTGTGCCACCAACACACCCTGTTGTTCACTGTGTTTTAGTTTATTTGAACTGATATTTTTATAGAGATCTACTTTTTTATTTTCCTTCTTTATTACAGCTTTTGGCAATTTTACTCGCAAAAACACTCCATACACAGATTAGTGATCAACTCCGTTTGATAAATCAGGTTACAGTTCACATATAGAAATGTTTGTTTGTTTGTTTTTGTTGAGCTATTCACATTTTTTGTATATAGAATTATTTTCATTCATCTCTATTGTCAACATTCACACACTACTGCTGACAAGTTAATTTTCCTTTAACCAGTTCAATTTTTAAATAATATGACAACAATGTGATTTTTGTGTTTTCAGTGGAATAAAAAATATATATATCAGTATTCACTGTGTTGTTTGTTGTTTTAATTCTCACAGTGTCATTGGCGAATTTCACTTTTCCACTTGTTGGAATTGTCATATGTGATTTGTAAAACAAGAATTGAATAAAATTAATTTTGTGCATCTTTTTAACTTTTCTTTTTTTATCAATAGACTGTATATACTGATAAGTGTTTGATTGTCATGATTGTTTGCACAATTCTATGATATTTCAAGTCACTATGTGTGCTTTTCATAATTTAGTATGTTTGTATCAGGTTATATATTATCAACTGAATTTGTATTCAATGTACATTTAAAAACAGGTTAATGAATAAATCGTATTAGGTTACAGAGTAAGTGTGAATATACTTGCTGAGTATCCTATTGATTTTTTTAAAGTTTCATACATGTATTCTCCTTAATGAATTTAAATAAAGCAAGAACAAGAGTTTTTGCAGAATAAAATGCTACCATCATTTATTTCGTTGGCTTCTCATCAGCTGTTTGCAGGCCAAGGTCATTATTACATATATCTACAGAAACAATTTTAACATACTGGCACAGAGTTCATTTTTAAACAAAATCAATCAATATGGGCCTACAATGCTAATAATAATAGACACTATCCCAAACAATAATGATCACACACATTGGAAACTTTCGGCATTACGTATTCAGATGGAGAGGGTGAAAATATCCAGTTACCAGGGCAAAGATAGACTGTTAACTGCTTCTTTCTGGACGTATAAATCAGGTTCCAGGTGCTCGGTGGAGATTGCTCCGGTAAACTTGAGGAGAGTTGAACTCTTTTGCATATTGATAATTTTGAACGATCTTACGATGTCCACCTCATGACTCGTGTCAAGTAGATGCCTGGCAATGGCACTTTTTAAAACATTTTTTCTCTCTAGACTTAGGCTTTTTGGTTACATGGTCAGAAAATCGGAGGCATACCCTTCTTTCTATTCTTCCAATGTAACAGCTCCCACAGATACATGTAAATTTGTATATATTTTGGCTAGAAAACATGTTTTGAAAATCTCTTATAAAAAGTAGGCTACACATCGACTACTTTTTGTGAAATAATAGGTTAGGAATTATCGATAGGATTTCCCAGTCACGCTCTTTATATTGAAAGTAAACTCGGTGTCTGATATGAAATACTGCTATGTTGAAATATCTTTGGGAAGTTGAGCGGTAGAAAAGCGTAAAGTTTTATGTATTGGCATACAAGTTTGTGAGTAGATGTGAGACAGTGATAGAATATATCTATCACAGTTTGTGTATAACAGTTAGTCTAAGAGACGCAGATTTCGAATAAGTATTTTTTTTTGTAAAACCGCTTCGCTTATTGACGTCTACATGATTGTTGCGGTTTCAACAGTCAATCTGCAAAACGAATGATACGATACAAAGGTGGTCCTTGCTAAGTGATATTTGAAACTTTGTTTTAAACACAAAATCTTGTTGTCGAAATTAAGCGAAAATTATTTATCTATAATTCTTTCTGCTAACTGTCCCTGACCATTATATTGTCTGCTCTTTTAACTGGATATTACCCCCCCCCCAATAAATTTCTCTTTCATTGCATGAATTATACCATTCATTTTAAAGCCAAGATGCCATTGTTCCAAAAGAAGTTCAGTGTGCCGAAATTTCCTGCTCGAAAAGCATCTAGTTTGACAAATTTGTCCCATCTCGGTTCAACTACCAGAAGTCAAGAATTCAGTACTGATTTTGGACCAATCAAAACACGCTTGAGTGGACGTGATCTTGTTTTTCGAAATGGTCAATGGATCATCGGTAAGATGATTTAGTTTATTGATCACAAATCTATTTTTAAACTCATTTGGTTTTAGCTATTCAGATCCCAACAGATTTCTAGTCCATTGCTAAATGAAGTCTCTTTTTGTGAAGTTTAAAAAACAATGAAATGGCGGTATAAGTATTCGCTACGTCATCAATTACTTGTAACTAACTATAAAAGGAATAGTAGACTATAATCAAATCAATATTTTTATATGTTAGGTATCTGTCGTAAAAGTAAATATTCTTCAGCTTAAAGGTTAGTTCAGTATAACAATCTAAGGTGCATCACGTAATCTAGTTCTTCAGTAAATTATATTTGACAGAGAAGTCAAACTAGTGTTTCATCTTACTTAATGCACAAACTTTGTGTAAAACGTTTCTGTGCAGATTTTCACTTTCTTAATTGTTTGGACCTACATTATGACAAAATTCTCTTTGGAACTACCCTGTTGACTTGGTTTTTGTCTGTCTCTGTTGTGTTAAGGATTGTCACACCCAATGAGGGTGTTTTTATAATGGAATCATCCAATTCATAGGCTCTTTTACTCTACTGACACTTTCACGTCTATTTGTCAATGAGACATGCTATCTTATCACTTTATATCTGTCATCTCTTCTGACATTTTTATTGATTTTGTGTGTGAACAAGCTGGATATTTTGCGTGTTGTTAGATTGACGGCTTTCTTTCTTTACTGTGTCAGTGGTGGTTCATTTTAGCAGTTCTCAGGTTCTGTTGAATTTTTGTGTTAATTGTATTTAGAAAGTCGGTTAATTTCCCCCTGGGGAATTGCCATATTTGAAGATAATTCTCGTCTCAGTTTGATTATATAATTTTTTATATCCTTTACGTTCCCCAGTGGAACATAGGGCTTCAAGCTAGTGGCTTGAAGTTTCTGTAGCAGTGTTTGTTTTACAGGATGTGGTTGCTAGCCTCATGTCCAACCTTTCCTCTTTACCAGCATTATTTCTTGCTTAGCGAGGTAAAGGAGTGTGTCGGTGGCCGGGGATCGAACCCCGGACCATGTACATGGTCGGCGAGCGTCCTAACCGCTATGCCACCGACGCACTTGATTATATGATATAATTAAGTATAATACCACTGACAATAAACCTTGTTTACTTTGACTGGACACTAGTAACTAGTGTGATGTGTCTAGTCCTTTCTTTGGTGCAAACTGAATTCTATCCGTCAGTCTATTGCCTCCAACCATCTAATATCATGAAATCAATGTGCATCGTGTTGGCGATCTACCTAGATTGGTGGCCATATTGCAAACGTGACTGACAGAATTCAGTCTGCAACAAAGTAAGGACTAGACACATCACACTAGTTACTAGTGTTCAATCAAAGTACCCAATACAGTCCTACAGGAGGTCAATCACGAGTCGAAATAGCTCAGTGGTAACGTCTCTGACTGCGGCACTAGATGGTGCGGGTTCGAATCTCTGAAAGGACATAAGTTTCTTCGTGGTCGCAGATACGCCCTGCTGACTGGTGAGTGCCAGCTAGCACGAAGCTTAGGTCCAAGGCCTCCTGCCGATTGCCTCCAACCATCTAAACTTTGTTCAGTTTGATTTTGAACTTTTGAGATTTATCGTCTATCAATTCCAGTAATTTAACGATTACTATGTTCAAAGGTAGACCCATTTACATAGGAATTTTAACTCATGGATTTATTGAATTTGGTTGAAGTTGGAAGGACGGATAGTCAAGCGGGAAAAAATTGCAGAATCCTTTTATGTATGCTGACAGCATATTTGTTCTATGAACCTATTTGAAACTTCAAAAAGAAAAATTCTGTCGATGATCATACTAAGCTTTTTGAATTCATACTGTAAAGAAGAAAAGATTGATGAGGCTCGAAGTCCACGTTTAATAGGACAAACGCTTTGTAAGTGCATACATTTGATATACCATCTCCAATGCTTTATTTGCATATCATTTGCAAATTGGTCGAATGCCACTACATTCGATAGTTTGTTGGATTGTCCACAGTTTTTCTAACGTTTTCTTTACAGTTCTGTTCTTCGGTTGCTTTTTCCACTGTCCGAAACATATTGTTACTTTTCTGAATTCGTTTGGCAACATCCCACTTATATCTGATTATAAGTAGCACTCACCAGAATAGGCCCTTCGTAAAGTTATTTAGTCACCTTATTGCATTACTTAAATCATACTGGAACAAATTATCGAGGTGTATTTTAACGGTTAACCGTGTCCTATTATTTTACTGGACTGTTCAAATATGTGAAGATTGTTATCTAAATTCTTGTTCATTTTAAACTGTGTCTTTGACTAGCCTGGCAGCATGATGTTCATCGCCGTAGGTAACTTTAGCGTTTGTTCTGTATGAATTGCAGTGATTGGATCTTGAAAATGGTTTTCGTGAATCACCAACAATTCTTCGGCACAGTAGTTAACTAAAATACATATACAGCTGATCCAATCTACTGAGTATGTAACCATCGAACTCACTAATTTCATGTTCATCATGAAAATATGGTATAAGTAGTTAGTTGGTTAAACATAAATTTCATTTTGTTGATTCTATACTGCTGTATTGTTTTTTTTGCTTCCCAGCGGTATTCTGCTTATAATAATAATGATAATATTTTTATTCTGGACAGTATTAATAAAATGCACAGAATTTTCAGAGCAGCTTATTGTATGATATTTTCCCCTCGCATAGTATCTTCAAGTAAAATATTGATTAAAAGTACATCCTGTGACACAACTGTCTCTGAGCTGAAGCACAAACCATTCCATTACGGTATATCTGCTTTGTCTCCTTCAAGAAATCCACAGTATATTCTGAGACCCAAGGACATAACTGAAGAACAGTTATATCATGCATTGGGACATGTTGCCACTCACAATCAGACCATTCCTCAAGTTTAGTAGGAACTTCCGAAACAGAAGCTTGTAAACATTTTAAATTCACACAAGAGTAGACAATGCTGTACTGAAAGCTGGCTCTTAGCCAAAATTGATAGACAGTAATTTACGTCAATGCTTACGTCCCCAATTTTGGTCGTGAGAAAAATATGAACAAAGACTGATTCAATAACCAGTCACAGAAGACTTTGCGTGGGTGGATACAATTTGCAGATAGATAATCTGAACTTCAATAAACGGCCACAAATAGATGAAAGATTAACGTTCAGCGAGAAACCACCAGTCAGAATAATATAACCAAAATAATCTATAATAATGTACATGAAAATCTATTAATATGTGTTGATTTCATAAATAAACGATCTGTTGCCTGGCCCTTGTCTTCTGTTTTAGAATGCCATTATATGCCACTTCTTAATCGATTAAAACAAACCGAACGACAGAAAACGCATGCAATAGAGAGGTGGAAGTTTTTGGTAGCCCAAGTTTTAAACAGGCCGCCAAAAGAAATATCAGATGTTTTATAATTTTTCCTATACCTCCACCAAATATTGTAAATCAATTCACTACATCTTTGTATACGGGGCTTAAAACTGCTGTTTTTTCCGAGATGAAATGTTTCATAAACGTGTACTCAATTTTATAATTTCTCTAAAATTTAGTGCTCAGAATACTCTCATACACTGTTGCTTTGAAAAATATCATTATTTCATCTGTAAACCTGTTAACATGCGGTTTAAAGACATCATATTTTACTAATAGAAAGTATTTTTAGTGTTTTTTTTCGAAATCCTCTGTTGGCTGAATGATATTTATTAAAAGAATTGTTCAGCAGAAGATCTGTTGAATAATATCACTGCATTACTTTATAGTTTCAAGCATTTCTTAATCCAATATTCACTATGTACTAGTCGACTTGTCACTGTTTTTTTTTGCCTTGTCTGAGTTTTTAAGAATAAAAACAATAAAAATTCAATAATAAACAAAAGCCTACAGTTAGTGTCTCTTGATCTCATTCGTAGATCGTCTCATCAGGTAAGTTAGTCTTCCAGCTATGAACATTTATATATTTCGTAAAAAGCACTGAACCTATTCTGAGTACTTAATCTTTTTGCGTAAGTTCAAACAAAATGAGCTACTTCTATCCAATTTTGACGTTGTTAAGATACAATGCAAAAATGGGGTAATAATTACCACTACTTGAATAAAAGCTGTAGTTGTCTAGAAAATCCCGTCCCTTCAACTTGAACCAACTAAAGATAAGTCATTTACAATGTAATCGTTTAAGGGGATAGTGGAGAAACCACAAATCTGTTGTAATGAAATACACTGTATTTGAAAAATCTCCTTGTTGTACATGATGTAATTATTTTCCTTATTTTAGAGGGGGAGAACGCTGGCTTAGAAGAGTCTGTAAATTCCGCTCAAATAGGACGTGAAACTTTCCGCATTAAAAAAGAAAATCACCAGCTTATTGAAGAAAATAACCTGCTGAAATTAAAAATCGATATCCTCTTAGACATGGTACGGTTTCTAAACTTTTTTTCCTTACAATCATATCACTAATTTAATACTTTAATTTTCATGCTCGCATATAATATGATGATTTGAGGTAGATTTTCATATGAAAACTGCTTTTCTTTTTTTTCACAAGCTTGCTGAAACTACTGCTGAAGTACACTTGCAAGAGAACGAAATTGAAAATCTACGTAATACACTACACAAGAAGCCAAATACAATCCAAGTATCTTAGACTTAACTTTCATAAAGTCTTGGAAATTGGCATACACGGATGTGATTAAAAGCTCCTTTTTGTATACTTTATAACGTATGAGATCACGTTTTTGAAGCTTAGTTTTACTAACCTCCTATCAGGATTCTATGTTTGATCATCTGTTCTGTGAGGGGAAACATACATATTCTCACTTTTTAGTTTTTAATAATTTTTATCAAGTATTGTTGCATAAATAATTACAAATAAAGCATATCACACTACAGTGTTTCTTTCTTTTTAATTCAAAATTTAACTTTTGACGTCACTCCCTCTAATTCTCCCTTTCTGTAGTTCTTAACTCCTGTGTGTGTGCCGTGATGACCAAAGTGTTCCGAGAATATCCATGTTTTGGGTTATTTTTCAGCAGTTTTGAGAAACCCTCTTAATAATGTGAATCCTGTGTATTCGTGGAAACATTTTTCAAAGACTAATGCGTTTTGTCTCTGTGTTAAAACGTACAAATAATAAAGCGTTACGAATGCAAATCGTGATTCAGTACATCTCGACGCAACACATAAACGTACCGGTTGTCATTAAAAACAGATGTGCTGAAATGGCCAAGTTGAACTTTAAGCACCAATAACTGCCAATGGAGTGCTACCGCACCAATGACCTTGAAACACTCACTGATGAGTAAGTTAGCGATATCCGGCAATCCTCTGATCATCGATAAAATATGCTCATAGAACTGGTATCTTGTTAAATGGGATATATGTGGCAAGTTTCAGATTAGGTTTAAGAAAGATTAAGTTACCCTTGAAGCCAAGGAAAATTTAGGGTTAGGTCAACCTAACAAAGGTGACAGTAGGTTTGGTTCAAGTTAGACTACAGTTAGTTTAGAGATTTTCGCACGTTCGGGTTATTTCCAGGAAAGATTAGGGTTATTCCTAATTTCAGAAGACCTAAATAATTACATGCATAGAATGTGGTTAAATTACTCTGTTGATACAAGGATAGAACTTATGCACTGTGGTTGAGTATAATTCCATTGTAAGTAAAATTTATTTTGATAAAGTCTCATAGTGTTATACAGTAATATTTACCGATGACGTTTCGAGCACAGTCTGTTGCTCAGTAAGTATTACTGTATTACACTATGAAACTTTATCAAAATAAATTTTACCCACAATGGAATTATGGTTCCTGATACTCCACCCTAAAACTAAGAGCTATTTTATTTTTGATTATAGTTTGATTCCACACCGTATTTTTCATACAAGTATGTAAATTTCAGCATGTGATGTCGGTAGCCCAAATTTTACAGGCCGATCATAGATATCAGGTGTGCGTCGGCAGGGGATCGAACCCCTGACCATATGCATGGTCGGCGAGAGTTCTAACCGCTGTGCCACTGACGCACATGTGAGGGGAAGGTATCCTCTGTAACACTTTTCCACAGTCTTTATGCATTTTTTCATAAATATATGTATTCCATGCACAAAAATGCCTCCTTCACGTGATTAGTGCGTTCCAGGTCATTCACTGCTTGGTAGTTAGTGTTGCTTAAAGTTCAATGTGCACTGCATGGATGTTTGGGAGTTTTTTTTCTAACTCAAATAGTTGTATGCAACATTTTCCATATATTTCTTTCAGCAACCCCTCGGATTCTAACGTGTCCAATATATTATGACGGAGAAAAATGGCGTCAAAAGTGACGCAGACAAACCTAACTACTTAGGTAAGAACGTATAGTTTCGGACTAACAGTGTTAAGTTCTAGCTTCGTTTGCGGGATTTTCTGGCTTGTCCTTAATGGCCGGATTTGCATACAGAATAATATCCTTAAAAAAAGTTCACGCGCTACCAATCACTCAAGTGAGTTGAACTATGAATAAACAAACCTACCTTTATTGATCTATTATATAAAATGTTTTTTTCTAAATCACTCAACGACATAATTTAAATGCTTGATAGATAATATCAACATAGTCAGCCATTTGTAAGATGCAGTTTAATTCACCTCTTTTAAAAGCATAAAATGTGCGTTAATGTACTAAAACTGACAGTTGAAGCTTAGTGATCTTCGGTTATTAATAGAACAAATCAGAGTAACATTTCTAACTATCCCAAAGTTACAGACACCGTTGGATGAGTCACTTGTCAGTTTTAGGTATAGTTGTTACAGAAAAGAATTTGTAGACTTCGAAAATTCCAACAAATGAGGCTTACTGTTGTCACATGACCATGTTTGTCACACGTCGTCTGCGTGATTAAAGCTACTGTTCATCGGGCCTAGCTAACGAATTTGTAAACTGATCAAGAAATCCAGGCACGCTGATTTCTGAAGGTTTTCTTTGGCGAGACTACCGTATACGATAGCTCCAAAATAATTTCATCCACTGTTGTGGTTTCTCCGCTCTTTTGTTACACAATGACATTTTATTCCTCTTCCTCCCAAGGTCACCGAGTCATGCAATGAGATTTAATACATTATTTATATTATTTTAATGTAAAACGTGATAAATTTACTTTAACCGCTGCGTATCAAACTTTCCTATAGGCATTTAGTAACAACAAAGGTATAAACGAGACGGGTGTGCATTTGGCTTTTCGTGCCCTTGGTGTAGCAACAGCCATCACAACATCGTCATTTGGTGCATTATCTCTACTCATATGGCTTATTATGAAGCCAAAAGACAAGGAGGATTTCAATAAGTGTCTGCGTGATTTCTTTCCAGAAAAGTGGAGAATACAACCCTCAACCAATAACAATGAAATCCGAACCTTTGATGAACTTCACTCACTCTTGATAAATGAATCTGTAAACAAAAGATGACCGCTTGTGGAGAAATTAGCATTTGTGAATTATCAACAACTAATTTTTCTAATTATGTTATTTTTTGATTGAGTACACAAAATGTTCGTATTCATTTGTATTCCCCTAAATAGGAAAAAAATGCACTGCCGTATTACATTTATGCAGTAGTAACTAATCAAACAACATGAGCTGGTGCAAAAATGTGACGCTAATGGCTATAAAGTATGTGGAAAATAAAGTGCTAATTTTACTTCATATGAGGACTACCTACTTGCATTGCAGTATGGTCACCAAAACTCAGGGTGCATAAAATTTAAAAGGGATAGGAGATGGTAGCTAGAGGAATCGTTAGGAAAGCATCCGCCACGTATGATCTTTAATGTAAGACCTGGATAGATGCATCACGGTTCCGATGTGAAATCCTATTTCTCATGAACTCTAAGACACTATCCTGAGATTGTTGACGCAAACCCAAAAAATAATTGGGTACCGTCTTCACCGCCCTTTATGAGCTTGTTCACAGGTTCAGAAACAGTGAGTAATCTGAAAGCTGACATAATCATTGCATAAGGCATCAAGGCTTGTGTTACAACAGTAGATCACTCTCTTGTTACAGCGCTCGCTACCGCTTCGTAGAAATATTTAGGCCATTTGGCTACCAGGCTCAAGGCATCCTATCAAGTCAATGGAAATTAAGTACGTGGAGATGGTAGGTACCCGCAGTGATCATTTCAGGATCTGCAAGTTGCCAATCAGCGAAACCGAAAGTTCCGTATCAGAAGTCAGTGACTTATAGGCACATAAGCTGCAACTGAAAGTCCCTTAGGACAAATGATTTTGAAATGCCTCAATATACGGTGTGGAATCAAGCTGTAACCAAAAAAAAAAATTAATCCCAGACATAATACGCCGCGTTAGATAGCGTACTGTAGAATAACTTTATAAACGCTACTCGCAGTATTAAACAGAACAAGCAGCGAATATCGGTGAGGAACGCGAAACCGCTTAAACGTGGAAATAAAATGAGTAGCGTAAAGGCTGTGGAAATTTAAATGGTTTCACCGTAGAATTTCACTCGGATTCAGCGAAACGTTCACCGTTGGGCGGGACTATCTTTTACACTTCGTTGGGTGGATCGTTTGTATACATCCGCCAATACACTCCGCCCCCATTCCTACTACTCTGAGTAGTCGCGGAAGTAACTAGTATCCATTAAAAGTAGTTATTAACATTACTGTAAATATCAACTTTACCAAACGACTGTGCTCTAGAACATTCGCTTCTCATTTCCAGATAACTGACTTTACCAATATTCAGCGAGTTCCGTCTTTTAATATTTCCATCCCATTTACACAAAGTTCTTAAAATGTTACCAGACAAATATTTTGTATACTTCTCCAGTGAATAATTAAAAAAAAGTGAAGCATAAAAGAAATCATTATTATTGAGCTGTACATAAGATAAGAAATGAGTCAAATACAATTAAAAGTTAGTGTTTTTATCTTTGTCAGGCTGCATTGCAGCATATGCACTATAATCGACATGACTAGCGGAACTGAAACCGAGACCAGCACCTCGTTGTGTGTGAGTTATAGTACGAGACATTTCGTATTCATGCTCTAGTCGCCTGAATAGTTCTGCTTGAGCTTCAGCACGCTTTAAAGCTTCAGTTTCATCTCCTTGTGACGTATTTCCATCCACAGTTTCTTCAGTTGTGTCATGAATGCCCATTAATTTCCGGAATTTAGCTGCAGCAGCAGAATCACCTTTCCCAGCAATTAAAGATGTGGTTGCCCACAAAGTCTTGCTGTCCTAAATGAAAAATGAAGGTGCTTGATTATTTAGAAACCTAATCATTATATAATCTTAAACAAAAACTACCGACATTAATTGCAAAAACTTACAGAGCTTGTGTTATCACTGTCTTTTTTCGACCATAACAATTTACGCTTTTTTTGTTGCTCCGCCAGCTTAACGGCATTAACCGTCGTAGGATTATAGTATTTCGGAAGATTAGCAGCCGCTGCCGCAGCTAATGCTTGGGCTTTAGCCTGCTGCTGTTGATGCTTTTGAATTTTATCCAGAATATCTTGTGCTGTCAGCTTTTGAAGAGTAGTATTTGTGGTGACACCTACAGAACAAATTCCGTACGTTCAATAGAGCAGACAAGTGAAAACGGATATCAATGAACTTTTACAAATTACACAAAAGCTGGACCTCATAAAGTCCGTACATTCTTAATGCAATTAAAAAAGACCGGTTTTATATTTTCAGTGCATGTCACACGTTTCATTGAATAATAATCGGTAAATTCTAGAAGCTTTGAAATGAACACCTGATTTACACTACAAGGATTAGAATGTTATTCGCCTACGCTAAAGCGTTTGGAATTGGCTCTGTGGCGATTCATAAGTTCCCATTCACAGTAGAACTGTTGATCAATTCTCACACTGTCTGAGGACGACCTATAACACATGGCACACACCAGTGATCTAAAGTTACTACAATTCCCTGTCAGGTAGATTTATTTAGGATAACGGTGATAAAATATTAATAAATGCATAACTTTTGGGACAATTACTACTCGTAATCACGTCGATGCATCCATACTTTCACATTCGCTTCACATAGTTTTACTTCCCTCTTTTGATATAATATTTCTTAAATCCGAAATTGGTGTTATGTCATTCGTATTACAATATGTATTGATTCTATGAACAAAGACTCGGCAATTAAACTGTCTTTACCTACTCATATTACTTTGCGGTCATTAGATGCGTTCAACTTGCTCAAACTAATTGTGTGACTATGCAACTACATGCATGGCGATGATTGAGTTAATACAGATCACTTACCTAGCGGGTCCTATTATTTCGCATTTAGCTAAATTCTTGTGTTCTAAAAATGCAACTGACTTCGCAATAACTACATGAATTTTGATGAAATTTCGTATGAGTCAGTGGGATCCTAAAGCCGACCGAATCAGTCTGTGAGCAAGCTTGAATGCTCAAACACCATCCTAATTCTAGCCTTACTACAAAAAACCTACGGACTGCTTAAGATGAGGAGTGGTTGTCTTAAGCACTCGACATTCAACAAGCGGGTTTAGAGTTCGAAACCAACCCTCGCCTACTCCAGCCTGTGCAGTGTTACCTCACATGCAATATCCCTCGTAACCCGATGCACGCTATATTGAGTCCAGGAAATCGAGTGGTTAACAAAGAGGCTTCAGACATTCAACCCTCACATAGTAGTGTTGTACAGGCTTTAAATTCCTTGGCCATACTATGATATTTGCGCTACTACTAAAGACTTACCAGTATTTAGAGGTCTGCAGTGTTATTAATAACATCATATTTATAAAATTCAAAAATGCATCGACAAATAGAGTAGAAATTAGCTCAAAAGTTCAACGGTCTTAGCCACCATACTTTTGACTGAAACGAATCATTACGAGACAGCATTCAAATGTATGAACATGTACGAGGGGGTTACATTAATAATTATTAATGAGTACTAAATATGAAGGATAACTGAGAATGAGTCTTCGACCAGGGACCCTTAAGCAGACCAGAAGAAACAAGGCAAGTACATTACACAGGCAATGTCTGACTGTGAAGGGAGTGCCAAGAAAGTACATTGCACTAATCAAGGCACTTTATTCAAACTCACGTAGTCGTGTAAGGGCTTATGGGGAATTGTCATCTGAATTGGTAACAACCAGTGGTGTCCGACAGGGATGTCCACTTTCCCCATTTCTGTTTAACTTCGTCATAGATATGCTAACGGAAGTATCCTTAACTGAACGTAGTGACTTAGGAATCGACTTATTACCAGGGAATAATCTAATGGACTTAGAATATGCAGATGACATAGTCCTGTTAGGGGAGGATGCTGAAAAAATGCAGAGTCTTCTGAACACCTTGAGCAGCAATCTTCGTATGTTTGGCATGCGATTCGCCCCTGCAAAATGTAAGATGCTGCTACAGGACTGGACCACGTCAACCCCTAACTTAGTGATAGGGAGTGAAGTGATAGAACATGTTGACCACTTCACCTACTTGGGAAGTTGTATTAGCACCAACGGACTGATTGGCGATGAAATCTCAGCACGGATCCGAAAAGCTCGAGCTGCTTTCGCTGACTTACACCATCTCTGGCGTAGGCGTGACATCCGGTTATCAACCAAGGGACGTGTGTACTGCTCAGAAGTTCGCTCCGTCCTTCTCTATGGCTCTGAAACATGGCCAATACGCGTTGAAGACATGAAAAGGTTGACTGCTTTCGATCATAGATGTCTGCGATCCCTGTCTCACGTTAGGTGGTTTCACAAGATAAGTAATGTTGACGTTAGGCGTAGAGTGTTGGGCAAAGAGGGAAAATCAATCGACGAGGCTATAAAGTTACATAGACTAAGATGGCTAGGTCACGTGCTGCGCATGCCTAACCACCGCCTCCCCCGACGGGCATTGCTAGCTGATATAGGTTCAGGTTGGAAAAGAGCCAGTGGTGGCCAAACAAAAACGTGGCATCAATCCATGAAATCCTTGACAGTTAAACTGAGTCAGGTAGGGAGATGCAGACTCCCGGGTTGGGGTCCTCGGGACTCTAGGAATCAATGGCTGGAGACAATAGGTGACATGGCTCAAAATCGTTGTCAATGGCGCAGATGTATTCAGTCTCTGTAATCTTTCATATTCCTTCCTACCATTACCCATTCTGTTTCACTCTCATACTTGTCAAACTCTATTGATTCTCTATACTCATCTTCTTGTCTACCTCTGTGTGCTATTTGGAACGTGGCAACTCGAACTGCTGCACTTCGGTGCCAAGTTCTATGTTGAATCCAAACAGACAGACAGACATTACACAAATACATAGCTTTAGGCATTATCGAGATTTTTTGATTTTGCTGTTTCCAATCTAATCCCACTCCAGCTTACAGGAAAAAAGGCTGTGTACTACAGGTCCACACTACATTAATTAAAAAGCTTCGAATTTTATCGGTTAATATTTTCTTCATAAAGGACCTCAATATAACTTGCCATGAGACACCTCTTTACTTGAACAATTGTACGTAACTATGTTGAGCACAGTGATTAGGACTCTCACCGACCACGCACATGGCCTGGGGTTCGATGCCCTGCCGACGCACACCTCATATCTATGGTCGGCGTGCAACTTTGGGCTACCGATATCACATGCTGAAAATGTCATACCTGTACCAAAAATACGGTGTGGAATCAAGCCGAAATAAAAAAATTTAAAAAACTGTTCATAGCTTCAACCCTCAGTGTCCATCTCTTCGGTAATCGTTCCTTTGGAGCTGAAGCAAATTCCTTAATAAGTTGAGTAATCAACACATTGAAAAATCTTATTCTTTTATCGTCAACCTAATTGTGACTGTAGACCATGTTAAGACAGTCTTACTTTAGACTGTTGCGAACTGCACGTCAAGTGTACCCGTGTATAGAAAACTGCACTTTGTCAGCGTTTTCATCTGGAAGACCTGTGCCGTTTGTGTGCTCTCAGTCGAACAGATCTCCCTAGTCGCACGTTAGTTTCCGAAAAGTCTTCATCAAAGCCACATGCAACAGTCTATCCACAACAGAATATGAACAATCACATTGAGGACGTCTGACTTGAAATGTTTCGCCTGGTTTTGTTAGCTGAGATAGCATTAGTATGCACCCACCTATTTGTCAGTCCATAGTACTGAAACTCATAGGCACAAACTGCAGTCAAAAGGAAAAATATTAAGTCAGAGATTCTTAAGTCCTGCTAACTGTTCTTCTGCTGTTCCACATCTCTAAGTGACTAATGTGATTAAAGAATCTCAAAAGTGGGAGTCTAATGATGTTTCGGCAGTTACGTCAACTCACTAACATCCTACAGAGTGAAGCGGAAATATTATTATAAATATACATACCTTGACTAGGAATCGCAGGCGAGTTAGCTACTTCCGCGACTTTCGTGGTCGAGGTGACAGGCGCTGATGAAGTGACGACGTGGTTTTCTGTTCTGGGCCGAGAATTCTAAAAAAGTGAAACATAATCATTGAGTTAACTAGGAAACGCGTACACACTACACTCAACGGATACGATAAGTAGAATGTTTATTTTCATTTACTGAAACCTCATTACTGTATCTTAATATGTGAAGCTTTTATTATGCCCTTCAGAATACATTTTTTCGCAGTGCTTTGTCTTATAAAGTCTATTTAAATGGAATGTGATACTTTATTCTATGAAGTTCCTCATCGACACACCTATAAATCATGAAGCTACAACACCTACTTTTACGAAAAACCAATACACTATGAAGACTCACTGCCATAAAAACTCTAAAAAGCTTCGTCTTATCATAATGTGAGATTACTTCAAGGGAACAGTTCTATGCAGTTATTTTATTACCAATAAAAAAGACTGACTTACAGAATCCTTCGGAATTGTTGTAGAGGCTTGAGTGATTCGTTTACCATTTGGACTATTTCGGTGACGCGACCTGCTGTCGTAACTAGAATCACTCGATGAACTGGAGGTTGACGTTGAACTATGGCGACGGTGCTTGTGGCGATGACGGCTACGACGGTCTCGATAGTGGGAATCGCGATGATGTTTTTTAGACGAATGTTTATGTTTTGAATGATGAGAACGTCTGCGCTTTGAAGAACTTCTATGGTGTCTGCTAGAACTCCTACGGCTGGATCTACATCAAGGTAAAGTGTAAACACCTGGCATATATAAAAGCGCATAGAATTAATTACATATTTAGTAGTGACAAAGTGTGTGGAAGTATTTATTCATATGGAAAATAGTGCCCAACTGAAGGTTGTCATCTGGATAAACAAGAGTATATCAACTACACTTTTGATTGCTGCACTAAATTTATCAAGTCTACAACCTGAAAACATTTGTGGCAATAGGAACGTTTAGCAATTACCAACTCATTTAGTTGAAAATCAAACAAAAGTACGCTTCGCGCTGGACAAATAAGTACAAACGTACCAATGAGATTTGGATTATTAAATTCATTCTAACTGCTTCCCAGACCGTAGTCGTCTGGGTGAAGTTCGGCCAAAACGGTGACAGGGAACGAAAGAAAATCAACATACACTTCCCTATTTAAGAAACATATCGTTAATATTAAAGCTATCTTCTCCTACACATATGTAAATCAGACTTTACATACATGTTTTGATGGAGATTATCGAATTTTTTATGAAGTTATGGAGTAGATTAATCAGCTGATCTGGTAAATACATCGTGTGGAGGCAGTTTTCCTTCTGAGTAGTACATAATTTTTATATGTCGACTTGACGTTAAAGGTAGCCGATTGCTGGTGGCTAATGTTGGAGACTTAAAAAAAATTACATATATAGGTCCCTAAAATCGAATTTCCTACCTTAAGTCAGTGATAATGACAAATATTAGATCCCTAAAAACATCGTTTTGACTTACACATATTTAACACCAATTAAGTTCTATGACACAGAGTCCTACTGGCCAACACATTTCAGTCAAAACCTAGCAAAGAAATGCTTGCGGTAGTTTGAGGCTAGAGTGGGTCATCAAGCCATGTTTGCGTGGACGACGTTTCTCCTATTTCAACTGACTGCTACAAACATCTTCACCCATACATAACTTAGTAAAAGACTTCTCTGAAAGTTTACTTATTTTACTTAGACTACACAGATAATCACCTGTCGGTGGGCTACCTTAAAATGCACTGTACTGTAAATTCCAAGTGGGAATGCTTGGAATACGTTTCTTACCTGACAAATTTTAACCCCCAAACTTCGGATTGGATGGTGTCCATATCTTATCTGAATAAGATACGGTGTGGTCTGATGCGTTAGACAGCCTACTTACCTGAGAAGCACCATCATGGTCAAAATGCTTGATGGTGCCAAGTCACCACTGTAATAATTAAAATTAATGAAATGCAGTATTGCAACACACTGCTGGTCTCATGGTACTAGATCCGAAATAATGTAAGGAATGATGGGAGCCTGTGAATCCTTCACCAGAAAATTGTTCGCTTCCGTTTCGTAAGTTTTCAGAGAAACTGACAAACGTTTGATTTACTGAGGGTTAACGGTTCAAATTTTCTAATCTCTCTACTTTCTGTTACTTTGAGCAGCCTCACATTTTGGTTTGTATAAAAACAAATCGATTTCAAGAACATGTTTTCAAACCTCAATATTGTTTCTATGTATTGTACTTTACATATTAATCGAATATTTGCGCGGTAATCCATCGTGTCAAGGTGTGAGAGCAATACTAGGTGAGTGATGGGGGTTTCCGCATTTATGAAATCAACAGTACCCCTAAAAACTCGCACTATTTCCAAAAAATAGTCTGAGAATTCAAAAAAGTAGACAGTTCGAGAACATACCTAGATGAATGCCTTTTCTTGTGCCGTCTTCTGGAAGAGCTATGTTCCCGGCTAGATGACCGACGTTTGCTTTCAATAGAGTAAGAAGCGGGTAGTTTGGATAACACAGGAGAACTTTTATTTGACTTGAGTTTGGGTGAAAGTTCGCGGTTTACTGAAGCCATATTGTGCATTTCACCCTGAGAAAAAAACAATCTTCGGTACAAGTTTATGTGCATCACGCATCTGAGCCTGCATTCAAAGATCATTAAACACTCACTAGTTATATAACTCACCAATTGATTTACTACCAAATTCAATGATCTTTATGACACCATTAGGCCTCGGCAGGATGGAATTCAGACACCAGTAATCTGAACTGAACATCGGACGTCCGAACGGCATAGGAGCTGTATTACACTGTGAGCAATGAGTTATAAAAGCAAAGAAGTTGTAATGCACTGCTAAATTTAGCGCAAATACTACAAGTATCGAACGTTTCGAAACTTGTCGGCAATCGGTTCGAATGTTGAAAAAGAATCCAAATTAAGGACTAAGGTTCACATCAGTTTGTTCGTTAATCCATAAGAAGCAACCTACTATAGCACGACACCGATAGCTGATTGGCATCTACTTAATGAACAAACGACTATCTACCAATTGTACCCACATATTAGGAAAGTGGAGAGTATTATTTAGAAGCCGTACTCACCTACAGGTTTATTTGTAACGGATATATATGGCATGAGTCGTTAATCCAAGAAATTATTGTCTATCATTATCACTAAGTAACTGCATAGTGAATGTCCAAACTCAAATTTAGGTACTAATAAAAGATAAAAAAGTTTATCAAGTGAATGCCCTTTAGCACCGAAAAGCACCCACCATAGCCCGGATACCACCACTGCCCCTATGATATCCGATAAGCCCTTCAATGTCAGTAGTGAAAAGGCGACAGAAAACTGCAGCACCTAGTCGCCTATTGCTGGCACAAGAAAAAGGCGTGCCAGGGTCAAAAACCCTCAGCTAAAGTCGCCTATGAACCTGTAGATCAAGCCTCACCCACACAGGTGGATGACAGTGAGCACGACACCAATGAATTGCGTTATATAGTCTCCCGCAGAAAGCACGATGGACGGAAAGACACTTGGACTGCCGAGCAAGTAAGTCACCATAAGCAAACCTATCACACAAGTTGCTGTCAAAAAAGGTATCAGGCGTAATTATATACAACTTGCATAGAATCGGTCAAAAGACTGACTACAGTATATATGCCAGTACACCTTATCCAAATCGTATTAAACTTAAAAAGCAACTCCCAAACTTTTAAGGGATCAAGTATACACGTCCGTGCTGATTTATGCCCTACACACCGCATCAAAAAGTGGTCTGTGCCCACAGAACTAACCGAACGGGATCGAAATTGTTAGAAAACCTTTGAGACTGAGGGTTTTCGAGTTGTCAAAGTCCGAAGTTTGATGGTCCCGAAACCTCCTTAGGTAGCCGCAGAAGCACCATACTGAGTTCATAACAATTTGTTACATTAATGTCTGCTGAACAAAAGGACTGAACTGTGTAATATGAAAGAATCCGGAAATAATTAACACACAAACAGGGCCAACATCCGACGTCACTGATAACGAAGTTAACCTGACAAACCTTATAATGCATAGGATGGCCCGACTTAGCCGCAAAGGAGGTGGCGTATTCATCTACCTCAAAAAATGCCTAACTGTCCGTAGCGCTGAAGCTCTCGCATATGAAAGACGTGCAAACTTCCACGCTGCAGAATTAAATGTATAGGTTGAGACATCAACCTTGTTGATACATGCCGCGGTCCTAAGTGCAATGCAGACGATTTCCTAATAGAGAGGCTACGCTACTGGACATCTAAATGCCGGAGTCTAGTCGATGGCAACTTCAACGCACCAACAGTTGACTGGACAAACCTTATGACGCCATCTTCAGACTTCTATGACTACAAACTGCTGGGATATTGCATTCCGCTAGCCCTACTCCAACATGTCATGAAGCCTACGTGCTATAACAGCACTCCTCTTCAATCCCGAACCTAGTGCCTTCCCATAGTAAGGATGCGAAGGAAGCGACCACGTTGTGCTCAATTTCAAGTTCACAGGAACGGCATCATGGGCCAAAACTTCAGCTTGACCAAACGTTTGGAAAGCTGGTATAAATCGTCTCATCAACCAACTCAGTGAGCTGGTACATCAACCCAGAGTCCCAAAAAGAAGACACATGGAACCAGTTAAAAAAACTTCACGCTCATGTAACTGAACCTTTCATCTCCTGATCTGTCACAAAGGGTTGGACACATTGCTCCTTTGGATAAACCGAGAGATTCGTAAGTCACTCAGAAGCAAACCCAAATGCTGGAACTTGAGACTAAGAAGTCATACAACGTCGCTAGGAACGAGGCTACTGCAGAAATCCGCCAATCGAGGATGATGTATATCTGGCTAAAAATGCAAAGGCACAACCTAAGAAAATTTTTTCATACATGAACTTCAGGAATAAGGCATCTAATGCGGTCCCAAATCTGACTATTTGCAATGGCACAGTCGAAGAGGATAAAAAAAGCAGAAGCAATAACAAACTACTTCTCCTAAGTCTCCACACAGGAGTCGTTACTCCCCGTATGTTCAATCATGGCCACGTCAGAAGAGCGCAGGATTAACTCCGTTGACGACGACGAAGACATCGTGTTCAAATGCCTGAATAAACTGGATGCAGGGGGTCAATGGATCTTGGTAATTTTTATCCAAGGCTTCTCAAGGAACTATCAGCCCACAGAGCCGACCCATTGACCACGATCTTCAAGCTGTCTCTCCTAAATGGTGTTACCACGTGACTGGAGAGACGCCATAGCAACCCTCATCCGCATAGGACGATCAAGACAGAGCCCTTCAAACTAGATGCCTACTAGTCAAACCAGCACTTTAATCAATAGGCCGAAAAGAATCATCAAGAAAAGTATCATGGGATACCTGGAAAACAAAAATTTGTTATTCGGAGCACAGTACAGCTTCCTGGATTCGACTCCCAGAAGAAGCGGTGTCGGCAACCTCATATGGACAAGCACAGAAATACACTAAAAAAGGGATCATCTTAGGCCTCAAGCCTTTTATCCTCAGTCAACATATCTGAATGTAGCCTACTAACTTTTATTCTGTACCAATAAGTCCATCCACAATTTTAACTACTTAATGGATATGTGAATACTTTTATGACTATAGATTAAAGAACAACCTAAAGAAATACTTTCAGACAAGGCATATTATAGCTCAGCAGAGTAATAACTTCACAAAATGTACAAAGATCCGTTTCTCAACACTGCAACAAGTGAATTACCTTGGTCATTGACGCTCTTTTGCTGCTTTGTTGTTGATCGTCTATAGTTCCATCATCCGAAGAATGCTTTAATTGTAAAATGAACACATCTCATTGCCAAAACAACACTCACCACTGATGACTCGTAATCGCAAAGCATTGCTACAAGCGCGCCTTTACTTACTCAGATTCATTTAAACAACATCCTCTCCAACACTTATATTTCAAAAGTGTCACTGAAAGTTCTCAATATATTTCTCATAGGTGAACAACAGCCGCAAAATTAATATTCGGGAAATCTTGGGTGTTGTTATGCATATTTCAATTACGTCACAGAAGTACACCAAGAAACTTACGATTTTCTTTATTTCGAATCTGACAAGGCGAATGTTTAAACTGAAATTCTGAGTGAACATATTATTCTGGATGGGACCAAAGCTTCTATTACTCGCAGGAAAAGGGGACAATTACGTGTCCGAAGAGGAATAGCACTGAATAACGCTAAACATACTCATTGGTTAAATTCTGAAAAAGGGAAGCAGATGTTTGTTGAATTATTCAGATCTAAAAAGAGTACAAAAAAAAAGTTGAAATAGTAATACTGATACTTATCAAATCTATAGGATATAAACTCTGTGTGCTTTTACTGAATAATGAGATGGATTATAGGCCAACTCACTAGCTCACTGAGCCTATTGGGGGCAAATTAACAAACCCACTTAATTGGGATACTTTCTTTCGGACGAATTTTCCTGAATAAAATGCTACCATACTCTTTGTCACCACATTTAAAGCGATATGTTCTCTTGCACAAAAGGTCGGTCCTGATTTGGTTCTGGCTTCTCCGAAGCATTTTGGATTGAGTAATTTCCAGATTGTGGCCATCCATCTAATAAGATTATCCTTATTAGGTATTTCTTTTGTTGTTTTGTCACAAAATCCCTTTTTTAAACATATAGGAGTATGCTGGTTTGATTTCCCTTAGTTATGCAGGATGAAATATTTTGCTCACTGTGAGATATAGTTTTCCGTCATTCTTCACTGTCTCAGCGGCATTAGTAGTCCTACATATGTCACGAGCTACCGTTATGCGGATTCAAGGATCCAGCCTAGTGCAGGTTCGTAAAGGGCTGCAGTATGAGGTCACAACGCCGTCGTTTACCCTCAATAACCGTTTTTCTATTTCTGGACAGCGAGTAGTCAAATTACACATCTTCATTTTTGGGCACCATCTACCCCATAAAGCACTCAAATAACTCACAGATAAACCCTTCTAATCATTTGAAGCTGTTCTGTGGGTGATGAAAAGCATCACACTTATGTAACTGAAGTCTTTATATCTTCTCAAGTGCCTTTTGTTTGATGAGCAAATATCATCAACTATTTTAGTACCAGTGATCATTGTTCTTAGTCTGTGTGGACTCTCAGTGCTGCCGGAAGTTACAAATCTTAGGTCGAAACCGTACATTGAATATCCATGACCCCCGTCTTTTCGCCGTTCAGATGCACTGGTAGCTTGAACGGAATAACTTATTTAGCATAATGTACAACACATAGTCAGGATTTGATGTGCAGTTCGACCAGCCGAAGTTACACATTATGTGACACAAATTCTTTTAAATTGATCTGTTAAGTTGTTAACCAACTGCTAGAGCAAACATCCCCACGATTATACTAAACCTCAATTGATAGTGCTTGCCCAAGTTATTCAGCACTGGATTTTCCTCTGTATGAATCCACTTTTGATTTTTTTTCATAGCATAATTCCAATCCATAATGAAAGAATATGCACTCAATCTCACACTTTGAAGGCCAGAGGAAGATGTTATAGCCATCAGCATCCAAAAGTGGAACTTTTAGGCTGACTCCCTTCTTTCGCCCCTTGTCAAGAGGAAGTACGAATTGAGTGTTCAACAAATTGGGGACTGTCTTCGTTCATATGGATCAAAATGCCGCCACAAAGTCGCACTTACAACTTTAATTTCTTAAAAGTGACCACTAATAATGACCACGATGCCATATTTGTCACGCATTCTGTGATGAAAATAGTGTCAGGCGAGAAATAACCTTCCTTCCACTAGCAAATAAAAAATTTTCTTTATCTTTATACCATCAGGCTTTAATTTTATCGTTCCTCTTATATTTACACCCCTCTGGGTTTCTTTTTTTGCCCATTTTTCATAAGTGTAAACACCATTTAAGCTCTGTCATAATTGTTATTTTTTGCTTTCATATCCTAACCATACCTTGTCAGGAGAACAATAGATTCAGTACTCCATAACATGCTATAATTTCCACAATGCATCAACAGTATTGCTTGAAATGGACCAACTGTTATTATTATTATCATTACTCTTATTTTATACTTTGCACATCTTTGGCTTTATCTCTACTGTAGATGTGGACAGGCTCATGTGATCAATTTTACTAATATTTTGAGCAAACTAGATGCAGCATTATGATAAATGCTGAGAATTCGGTGCTGTTTTTTAAGTGCTGATTTTGCAATAAGACAGATTATTATTAATTTCTGCACGCAAGAATGTGAGTCTTATAACATGATGTCATTGTGGAAAAAATTCTTCGACGACGCGTCACAACCACCACCGATGTATGTAGGTTAGTGTTAGGGACAAAATGAGATGCCAGCATCATACAACTTGGAACAGAAGGAGATCAACGGAATTTTTTGAAAAGCTAACAGGCAAACAGAACAATAAATGTATGTGCTGCGTACCACTGAAAGTTCTCTTGCAGTAATCTTGAATTAAGGAGTGACGTCTTAAGTTCGAAATAGACAGTTTATGAGGCGTGATCGGAATGCAGAGGAAGAAGCACAAGAATAGCCTTTACATCACTCAGGGGTTGTGACAGTAGCGTCACTGTATGGCATTCCTCCAGTAAACGATTTCGCCACTAAATACCACTGTGTTCCACTACTGAGCTGACGGTTTTATTAGGACGTGTGAGTTCCGATCAAAGACCAGAAGATACGCATATATGACGATACCTGCCTATCTTTTGTAAAATGACCACCGATGGATTTAGGTAAGAGATGATCTCTGGTTCTACTATGCCTCGTCATCAGACGGTTTTAAATAATACCCGAAATTCTAGTGGTTTCATGTTCTATGAACTAAAGAATAACACAAAACTGAAAAGTAAATGCTTCTGGTGCTTGAAAACACCAAGTTTATCAGGGGTCGTCGATGTTCATGTCTAACTACACTGAACTTAACGCTGTCCATCGAAGACCTTCGGAAACAATGTGCAATAACCAAAGCTAAAAACAGAACACAGGTTGGTGGCCCGAGAATCCTTTATTCTTACGCCAATACGTAACCATTAATAAGGTTATTATAGATAAGGTCTGTCAATCAAGTCTCACAAACCGTTAATGACCAGCTCTTGCTGCGCTGGGCCTCACGCTGTCCCTCGAAGAATTTCAGAAACGCTTGATATTAACCGACCCAAACCCAAAACACCGTTTGGAGACTCAAGAATTCTTTATTCTAACACCAACATAAAACCAGCAATACCGGCATTACAGACTAAGGTCTAAGAACAATCATTAAAACAATATATCTGACAGTTTTTTGATCTTCTTTCTGAACAGCGACTGATGAGACGATGACTGTCGTATTGATGCCTCCGCGAAAATTGGGGAAGTTGGTTTTGAGCAAACAACCAGGAATTCATCGTTCAATCTTCAACTCCATTGACACTTCCCGGAAAAAAGGGGTTCATCATATTTTTCCATCACGACGAATACACCTTGACTTGGACGCCATTGTGAGAACCTGGGTCACTCGGACAGAGCTGAAATGGAAAACAAACAGAACAGTCAACACACCCCAGGCGAACCCACAGCACACTCTCACTCATCAACGACGACCTACGCCTTCCAGCCAAAGGTATCCTCTTGACTTCTTGCAATACAATCACCACTTGCTAGAATAACTCTTGCAGAAAGCAACGTGACCATAACAGCACCTCATGATACTCCTCGCAAATCCTCTTACCTATTCGCCACCAATTACCGCTGCGATCGCTTGTCACTCATTCTGCCTCAGTTCTAGTAACGGTGACGTATGCAAGCCCCAGTCGTCGACACTCGCTCTCCGGCATGTGGGACCACAGTGTAAATAGAAACATCCATTCTCAATTATTGATTCCACAGCTTATTCTTATCTCCGTGTGCATGTCATTCTCAGCAATAGCCTAGCCTCCCCGGCGTATACGACCCATCTGCTGTCTTTAACATCAATCAATTCATTCACGGATGTAGAAGACTCGAAACAACTTCAGAAGTAATCACGACGAAAATTTTAACAAAATTACGCAATAACAACAAGATACGAAAACAACAAGTAAACACAATGAATCCAAAACACCACCAATTGATATGACACACCACACATATATACAAACTGTACACACAAACTCGCAGTTCATGTCTTGATGGAATTCTTTTGAAGAATCGCAGGACTTACACCAGTATGCCTACAACCCTTCACAGGTTGACGATTGTAAGTTGTGGAATGTCCGGACACAAACAAGATTAACCAACAATTACAATAATTGGAACTCACACAATTATTTAACACAAACATATGTACAATCACTACATCAAAGTGGTGGATTCTGCCTCAACGAACTACCCTTGAAGAACTGTAGGACTTACAGCAGTACGCCTACATTCCTTCTCAGGTTGATGATACAGGTGGAAGACGTCCGGATACAAACAAAAATATCAACAGATAGATGAAAGATGATACCAATTCAGTATATACAATATGAACATATGTACAAAATCACACGCCGAGCACATTGCACTGCTCATTGATGCGCTACCCTTTGAAAAATTGTAGGACTTACAGCAGTACGCCTACAACCCTTCTCAGGTTGACGCCCTAGGTTGGAAAATCGTCGCAGAGTTCATTTGCTGACCTTCTTCAATCATCTATATCCTCAACTTTGAATGACAACACGCCCGTTTCTTTGTATCGTAGAATATAGATGACAAACAAACATACGACGTAACTGACCAATCAAGCTTGGGTACAGAGTAATTTACACCGAAGATAATAGCATTCAAATAGTAATTTGAAACTTGAAATGGGTAGAGTCCTCAAAAATGAGCCTATCCAATTTTTACTA